ATATTGAATATAAACTTAAAATAATTTACGTAAAAATAAAACCTACCTGCAAAGTAGCACCACCACAGAATCGGCCTTGGCTGGGATGAAGCCCAGGAGGAACACGTTGCGGCAGCCACAGTTGTAACACTCCAGCACTGTCTCGCCCAGTGGCCCATCTTTATGCAGCGTCACCTCTTTGCATTTTGCTCTCACCAAATGGTTCACAATGTGACTGTCAGAAAGACCATGAAGAAAACCATTAAAAATGTGACTTGATTACATGGCTGCATATATCAATTTCAAGTAGGCATGCATACATAACTAGTACAACAACAAAACAGACTTGACTAATTTTAATTTGCATTGCATTGCTTTATGTCAGCAGCAGATGGGAGATGGACCTACAAAGTGATTCAAAAATGCAACTTCAATAATAGTTTCTGTAGACGACGGACTATTTAAACAAATTCAACATTTTTAAAGGTAAAAGGCGGTGGCAGTTTGAGATCATTCATAGTTGTAATATTTCATTGTAAAGACTTTAAGGTGGGTGTGAAGTAACATCTATCTGGCTACATAAGCAGCTGATGTTCTGATGCTGATATGTGAGGTGATAAAGGTAAACATGAGTGGACAGCACACCTGCCAGATGTGTTGCCACGTCCATTACAGAACCACTTCTTGCTGGTGTTGCAGTACACAACACATGCTGGATCGTGGATCCCACAGTAGCTGAAAGAAAAGCAAAAGAGTAGAAAAAAAACAGCATAATTATAAGTGCAGTTAAAGCCATATTCTACTCATTTAAAAAACAGTTTTCGTTGGGGGATGCCAAACAGACAACATGCTTGATAAAGGAGGAAGTAAACACATGCTTTTGAGTGAGCATACACGAGCCTCGTGTATTATCAACTTCAATTTTCACGTGTGATCAAATGTAAAGTGACATCCTGACATGGTGTAGCTCGTGTCAGTGTACCTGCACGCGTGCACAGGCAGGTCTTTGGTGTAGTACGTGTCTTCTTCATCTTCCTCAAAGTTGAGCTCGGCCAACAGCTGGCTGGCTTTGGACACAGAGTCATCCAGACCACCATTTAAAAGACCTTCATCAGGACCATTAACCTGCAGCAGCAAAACACACACACACACACACACACAAGCTTTACCCAACAAACTCAACGCTAACGCCAAAAAAAAAAAAAAAGGGACACAGCGCCAAAAAGAAAAGCATGATAATAACAAGCTGAGTGACTGACAGCGATCTTTACACACATCTTTTGGTTATTACAGCGTAACCTGGTGAATTTGGTTCGGTATGTACAGTCCAAAACAAACGTGCTACGCCGAGTAATATCACTTTGTGAGTTTAGGATGTGGCTTATCAGCTTGCAGCCAGCTAGCGGTAACAGCTAGCTAACAGAGCTAGGTGTGCTAGATCCAATAATAGCGGGCTAACATGCATCGCTGGGTCGGCTAGCTAACCGAGGCTAACGTCGGTAAAGTGCGCTTTACGCCGCCTTCCTGTGACATTAAAAGCCGCAAACCTGACTGTCCAGCTGGCTCTGTGTGTGGCCTTGAGTTTGCGTCTGGCTCGGAAGCGTGAAGTCGGTGAAGTCGTACTCGGAGCCCTGGGTGTCCGCTCCGAGTAACTCTGCCTCCTCGGTGTCCAGGAAGGTGAGGGTTTGGGAGCTCGGCCCGTACGCCTCCACACTCATCTCGACTCGCAACTTTCGCTTTGCCGAAGTGTTTCCGTGGTCCGTCTAAAAAAAAAAAGAGGGCGACTAAATCCTCGATGTGTTTGTTTATCGACAAGTTATTGTGAGGGGGCAAGTCGCCGACTGTCTTAATTTGAACCCAAACAAAAATGGAACCGATCAGAAGCTCGAGAAATCCAGCAGGTCCGACGGCGACGGTGACGAACTTCCATGCGCGGCTCAACGTGTGACGTTCACACACACGGCAAGGCGGATGACCAAAGATAGAGCAACATAAGGGAAGAGCTCTCACTCTGATCTTATTTTCGGGTATCAAAACGGAGTTGTGGTGGACCTTTGCGGGAGTGATATGGAAATACGACTCTTTTAAATATTCATCTAGAATATTTAATCAAAGCCTAAACACATTTAAAGCCATATAAAAAAGCTTGATTCGTCAAGGGTTTTGATTGGATAACATTTGAGCTGGTAATAGTAATTTAAAAATGTTTTTGTTCACGCAGCCTTACATGCATATTTCAATCTTCAAATGTCACTCAGTAAAATCGAGTATAAATCAACTACAACTACAATAGTTTTTAAAAAATCGTATCAAAAGACACAGAGAAATTCCATGTTATCATTTCATTCTCTTTATTTCCAAGCATTTCCTTCTAAAAAGCAAAGATTACATTTTTGTAACGTTGCTTTGTTATGTCTAAAGTGGATTCTTACCAAATAGAGAAATTCACAATAAATTCACAGAGCCATAATGTTATTGTACAACAGAGCACACACCAAGATAAAAATAAATACATTTGAGGTAGCCACACATTTGACTGGACAGTATCAATAAAATATCTTTGAACTGAACTGCTGAGCAATTTTAAGGCCTTTTCATAACACTCATTAATTACAAGGCACAGGAAATAGTCAGGATCAGACATCACCTCATCTGTAAACTCGAGGCTTTCCCTATATGTTGGCAGGATTTTTTTTGGGAGGGGGGGGCAGATCCACCACAACCCTTTCACTTCCTCACCTGCAAACAAGGAACTTAACCCTGCCCACTATTTCAGTATTTCAAAACAGATCTTAAAACCTCATACCAAAGATGTAAGTTGAAAAATGAATGCCAAGATTCAGTTCAAGCAAGTGTTCAGCTCGGTGTTCAATGATGCTACATTATGGTACAAACAATTGAATTAAAATAACATACTCTGCTAAAAACTAATGACAATTCACTCAATCTAACTGGCTGCTACATTACTGACCTTGTAAAAAATTAAATAAAAGGCTTCTACTGCTACAATGTTAAGCTAATTGTTTAGTTTCCTCGATAGATTTTACAGTTTTAAACAATATCCAACTAAGTTTATCCAAACAAATTGTCTTGCTTTGGATACATACGATGAAAAAAAACTAAAATGTCTGTAGAGTCATCTGTAGTTTGTTTGTTTAACAGGTTAAACAAACCAAAAGGTACGGGATATAAATGATGACTCACTGATAAAGCATCCATAGTAATAATAATTGGAGAGAAAAACATTAAAATGCATGTGTGCATGCCTGGAAAGCTACATATTTCAATTTAAAGTGGCTGAAAAAAAAAGCATTTTCACAAATAGAATTGCTGTTAATATTCCAGATAAAGTCACATTTTAAAAAAAGGAAAAAAAGAAAGTGCTACAGAAAAGAAAGTCCAGGCCCAACTCTGACTGAACTGAGAGTCAAAATCCATGAAATCAAATCCTCAGGTAAAATAAGCAGCTAAATCTGATTCAATGACGGGCACAACAGAAAGCTTCTGTCAATGTTTAAAAAATACGGGCTAGACCAAAAAAGAGAAAACATGGGATTGTACTACTTGAGCTTGAAAGGTTGCACACTTCAAATACAATCACAAATTTTCTTCACAGTCTGGAACATTTTCACAAAAGCTTTGTATCTCTCTTAAGGGCTAAAATATATTGATTTTTCTAATTACCGTATTATTATTGGATATACACTTTATCTTAAGAACAGGACAGCTATCTGAATGTAATGGTGAAGCCATAATAGAAACCAGTGAACCTGAGATCTGTAAAAAAAATAACATTGCACAGCCTTGGGCCAGATCTCAGTAGCGTGGAATTGTGGTTGTTCTGTCAGAAGTGGGCCAGACAAACTGGGGAAATATGAGCTGGAACCAACCCGTTCCCTGATTTAAATAACCTTTGTAAAAGAAGGCAAATTCACAACTTCTTATAAAGAAAAAGGACTAAAGAAACAATTCAACATCAAGTGTGAAACCACATAGTAAGAAGGTAGTTAAAAGGAACCAGAAATGAGTAAACACAGTTCACTGCTAATCATTTCTACTAAAAACATTATGTATTGGGTACATTGAACATTTGAAAACCTTTGGAAAACAGTTGAATTAATCATAATGTTACTGAGTGAAATCAAAAACTTGAGGATGAAATATCCTGACAGTTGAATACTCGCTCAGCCATGTTTTCAAATGGGACTTCTCTAACCATTTGAAAAAAAACCTAACCGCCTTTTAGGTGCATCATAGGAGTCACATTTAGGACTACAGGTCTATAAGGTCTCAATGTATATAAACAAATGTTAACAGCCCATTGTGTCTGTGTTCTCTTAATGAGCATTATACTTTTCATATAGTTTTTAACTCAGCAGTCAGAATATTTAATCTTCATCTAAAGTGTGACTTTTTAAATGGGATCAGGTGTTTTGTTTTTTTCAGCTAAACCCTACATTTTTTTTTTTTACACATATTGGGAGACATTAAAACACAAGATAATCAGGCAAGTAGTATACAAAGCAAAAACCGAAGACAAATAGTGATTTCACACTTGCAGAAAACTCCTGAAATTAATCCTGATATTTTCAGGAGGAGCTTTTCAGACTTTTTACAGAGTTTCTCCTGCCAGCTGCCCAATGTTTTTTTGCGCATTAAGTCCGAGTGAGCTGATGTGAGAACGCAGCACTCCGTTACCCGGAAAATTCACATGGAGCGGGTGGGAGGGGGTAGTAACGTTTATGTCCTGTGACAGGTGCACCGCAAACGCTACTATCGCTGTGCACGTAATTAAACTGCCGCATTATGTTTTCTGTTCACTAGGATGTTGTTCTCCGCTCTTCTGTTAATAGTGTGATTCCGTCAAACTTCATGTAGCATTGATATAAAGGCAAATATTGTCATTATAGCAACGTATAGTGGAATCTGTTGCTTCACCGGCCACTTCCGCATCATTCTTTCTGCCCCCCCCCCCCCCCCCGTCTGACAGGGATAGACTCCCGCTGGTAGGTGAATATGTGAACAGCCAGGTCAGGAGAATCTCCAGAGCAGTCCTCCTGAAATGATCTAGGTCTTTTCAGGAGTGCATATGTGAAAGCAGCTAAAGACAAATAAATGCTGGAAAGATCAGAAACAATGAAGTTTTTGTTTTGTCCAAGACAATAAAAAGAGGTTTGGCTACTTGTGGTTAAGTGCAAGTTCTCCTGTGTGGTAAAGGCTGAAGAGGCTGGTTGACTTCTGGAGGTCACTTAGTGGAAGTGCTGCTGGCAGTGGATCTTCTCCTCAGCCTGGTCCAGAAGCTCGAGCATCTCTTGAATGATGGCCTTCAGTGCACGGCCCAGGTCTTCACCGCTGTAAGGCTTTCCAAGAGGAGGCACATGGACGAAGGCAGAGCGACCATGGCTCAGATACAAAGAGGTGTAGTAGGTGAAGTCACAGAGATACCTGTTCGGGAAGTGAGCACACCATCAGATGAGTAAAGTCAATGTGTTATAAAGAAGACAAAATAAAAGCTATGAATACCTGCATTACACATAGGTACAGTTTTATAACAAATCATGAGCAGATGACCCTATAAATAAATCTGTTACCATGTGACAAAGAAACATTCAGAGTAGTTTAAAAATGAGTTTGTAAAAGGACAGAGATATTACTTCGACACATGTTTTGTGTCATTTCTGCAACAATATAATTTGGAAATTGTAGTCGGTTAGTAACAAATACTAGAGAGAAGACGATATGCCCACACACTTGCTCGAAACACCACAAAAAGTTTCGACGAGAGGTCTTCTTCAGGTGATCATTCTTATTTTAAAAAAGTATTAAATGTGCGGGCATTTCTTCTCTCTGCTGTTCTTGTATTGCCCTGGCTGCACCTGTGTGATGTGCATCAAAATACACATTAAACATATTTCTTTCTTACCCAGATTCTGTTGTGATGGTTTGTTATTATGAAATGGATTCATGATCAAGTGTTTCTGAACTTTAGTTCTAATAAGCTATTTGATACAAGAGAGAGTGGCAGTAACATCATCATCATCGTCAGCTCTGTTGACAAGTGCGACTCCTGCGGCTCAAGATTTCTGCCTGATAGAAAGACGTTTTTTCCTTGCCACTGTAACTTTGCTAAATGTTGCTTGGTGCTGTGCTCATGATGGATTAGTATTGGCTCTTGATTTATTGAAAACTGTTCACCAATATGGGTACGTCAAAAACTCTGCATAATCAAGTGAATCGCAAAGATGTATTTTATACAATTCCTTATAATGGTGGCCCATGACAAAAACACAAGCTCCACTGCCATCTTCAATGAAGAGTATGTATCATTCTTTTCAGGACTCAAACATCTAACTTATTAATGACTTGCTATTGTCGCAAAAATGCCATTTACAATCTCCAATGGTAAAGATTCAGGGTTGATAAGCCTGACAGCTTACAGAGAGAAGATTCAATTTCTGGCAGAAAAGGCATATGCAGAACAAGTTACTGCTTTGACCACAGCAGTCAACAAGATCGGCACAAAATGCAAGTTCCTCACAGTGGCTTCAAGCAAAGGGAAATCAATCCTTTTGTTCCTATTAATACATTTTTCCCTCAGCTGTCTATCACACCGTTAAACAAAATTCCCCCCATTTTGCAAAGAGTAAAGATGTTCTTCTTTAATAGACGAATCATGTGCTTGTAAGTGGTGCAAGTAAAAAAAAAAAAAGAGGCTAATTCTGACTGGCAAAACTACAGGAAATAATTACCTTCCAGCATCTTTAGAGACAGAAACAGCTACTCCAAGCCCCGAGGCCGTCACTCGCTTACAGACCGATTCCATGTCAATAACTGAGTCGATACAGTCTGGACCTCCCACGATGCAACACTGCGAATCAGGACAGAAGCTGCTGTTGTCCAGGCCCTTGTAGCCATGATTTCTGCCACACTTCTCCAGTGTGACGGTGGTGGCCATACCTGAGACGCCAACGTGAACGACCAACTGGAAAAAATAAAAATAAAGAGAAGATCTGAGACTTAATCAATTCAGATTTACTCAAATATTTTGGTCCCAAACACAAATTGAATCACGATATATCTTTGAAATCATATCCGAGGTGTATAAAGGAGTGGTGATTAATTTATCTGGGGAGGAGATGCAAACATGCAGATCTCATTCAAGAAAATACTACATCTTTAGGAGCCCCATGAAAGTATCATATTTCATATTTGAATGCTCTCAGAGTTGGTCTGAGACACACTAAAGCTAGTCATTTGCTACAAACAGTAATTTAATAATTGTATGTCATGTACTTTGAGGCAGCTTGTGTTACATGTGTAATTATCTATTATATGCCTTTACGCTGTGTGTGAGATCCAACTTTGACTTGCCTTTAGAAAGTGACATTTAAATCAGACTGAAACTGAAGCAGACATGAGCTGCTGTAGTTTATCTCTAGATGTGGAAAAATGCTGATAGGTCATATGTTTCTCTTACCAGTGGATGATACTGCTTCCATAATGAAGGAACCAAACTCTGGACTGTCTGATACTCTACAGGAACCTCTGAAACATGCAAGTCCACTTCACTTCCAAGTCCAAGCTTCTTCAGTTCCTGTAAGAAAAAAACAAGAGCATGTAAGCTAAAGTGCTTTTTGCAAAGTGCATGATGTTAATGTCATGACGCACAACATTTTTCAATGATTAAGGTGAGATCTGGGCAAGAATAATCATTGATTTCAAGACTGGAAAAATGGATCCAGCTCAGAATATCAGACAAAGAGTAAGGTATTTTACCTGCTTTTTGTAAAGTGTCTTGAGATAACACTTGTTATGAGTTGACGCTATACAAATAAATTGAATTGAATTGAATATGTCAAAATAACTCGGAGAGAGGTGGTGAAACTATTACAACAATGCACTCAAGGGAAGGGAGTAGCACAGAGTTATCCATATGTAGGCTGATGAAGCGTGTTTAATGTGTGGAAAATTAATCTGTTCTCAAAGAACCATTTACAGGTGTATTTAAGCTTTAAACAGCATTGCCACACTTCTCTAACTGTGTATTAGTTTGGTACATTTCCTGCACCTTTTACCATTTATACTTACAATTAGTGCCTACTTGCAACGAAATATTCAAAAAAGTACATCCTCACATTTCCATTTGTACCCATTTTTCCTGCATGTCATTTCCCACTCCGCCACCCCTGTCTCTGACTCTCTTCACTTTCCTCCCAATAAAAGGCATAAAACCCCAGAAATTACCTTAGAAAAATATAAATATAGATTTATTTTCCAAACTACAACACATCCAGTAAGAAAGTGTGTTTTCATAAATTAATACTAATGAATAAAACCAGTCGTGGAAAACTTAGACATAAAAGAAGCAATCTTACATATTCTAAGTAAGATAAATCTGTGTCAGATTCACAGCCAGTGACCGGCATCTCCACTTGTCTCCCCCGTAGGACCAGAAGCCTCGGACAATGACCCCAACTTGTATTGAAAAGAGGCTTTTTTGACCACGTCTGCGACCCCACCACAAAGCAGCCCATTGTTTGCATTTAATATCCTTATCAAGTCCGTCTAGACACCCTGACAACCTCTGTCATCCCCCACATGCAGTTTCCCCAATAGGACTCAGAGAGCCTATCGACTCGCTGCTACACGACGTGAAGCCGGCCGGCAGCAATCAGAGCAACATTTCACTGCCACATACACAGCTTTAACAAGAGATATTCATTTAGTCACACCTACTCTCTCTCTCTTTTATGTATTTTTTCATTTGACTGTTTGTGCAGGCAGCCAAGTCTTGGCCCAAAAAAATATTGCTCTTTATAATTATATAGGTAGTGTCTTATATTTCACAAGCATGTCATTTTGTCTTCATTTAAAAAACAACAACAAAAATTTCATTACGTAAGGAATACTATTTAAACAAAATATTGAATTACAGCAGTCTAATTTTAATTGATGATCCTGTTCATGATTGATCTTGATCATTACTTACGCATCGGCAGTAAAGAGATTAGGGCTGGGCGATACGGACCAAAAATCATATCTCAATATTGTTTAGCTGAATGGCGATACTCGATATATATCGATAAGTCTTTCATTAACAGTGAAAACACATGAAAAATAAACTACCTGATACATCTTAAAAACTCGATATATTTTCCAGCCCTAAAAGAGATACAACGTACAGTACCTGTACAGCTACCCAGCTGGCGTTGACTGTGTGCTCTCCAAATGGCCCAAAACCTGCAAAGGAATACACACACACACTGTTATGATGCAGCACTTAGGAAAAAGAACTATTCAGTTAAAAAAAAATACAACAAATGAAAAAGCATTTAGTTTTGATGAAGTAGTAGAATACACAGGGGATCATCCATCCTAGTCTGTTGTATAATAGACATAATAAAATCTTGTGTACCTTATATGTTGCAGTTGAAGCCTTACTATGTGTGATCCTAATGCTTTTAGTTTAATTGTTTGATAGAGATACTTTTGAATGTTTGACTGCAGGATACAGAATCTGAATGTTCTAACTTTTACAGTAACTATAATATAAACTGTAAATAATAAGCTCATGGACCTTTAAAAAAAAAAAAAACATCTTTCTAAAACCAAAAAGAGAGGAAGGTGTTGTTAGATTAGCAGCATTCTGCTCTTTATTGAATTAAAAAAATAACTAAAATCCCTTCATGGCTCACTCCATATATGATCAAAATCACAGCAGAAGCCAATAGATATTCACCAGGGCTTGTTTGTGTAGAGATCTATAACTGATCCCCTACCACCACCCTTCCAAGGGTCAGCAGGTCCCTTGGGGGTTGGATGGGTGGGTTGGGGGGGGGGGGTCAGTCTGTCTGACATGCTGCTGAAAAGGAGCAGAGTGAGGGGCCGGCAGCTGCCAGCCGGCCCGCTATTGTGAAGGTGCTGTTCCCAGGCAATCTTCACATCTTGTATCAGCTGGGACTGTGAGCGCCTGCACCCCTCTTTGTGTCTGAAAAGTCACTGCTCCTGTTGTCCGCCACAGTGTCAACACTAGAGACTGTAGTTTTGCACTTAGAAATATATGTTTTATGGGCTGGTAGACAAGTCACAAGGAGTTTTAGAAAATAACAGTTCAAAGCGCAAGACATTTATTTGGAACTGTTATCATAAGGAAAGCAAGGTGACAAATTAAAGATAACTGTGTGAGCTTCTGTACCACAGGAGATAATCAAGACTGAAACATAATCTATGACTGGATTTTAGACATTTTATTTACTTTACACTGTTTTAAAAAGAGGATTTTCTGGCATGAACTTCACCAAATGACAAGGTGCATGAAGAGTGAAGCAACACTTGTAGTAAGAAGATCAACTTTATTAACAATGTAGACCGAGGCGTTTGGGCTTCATCAGGGTCATCAGACTCTGTTTTCCCAGATCTGTAAAACTGCAACAAATCTGGAAGAAGCTGAAGCGGAAAACAACCTCCTGTAAACTGACATTTTAAGCAAAGAAAACCCAAACCCCAAAAGGGCCCCTTCCTTTTAAAAGGACATTTTCAAAATCAAACAAATCCCTCCATAAATATATAGGATATAGGATACATATAATCCTATAAAAAGATATTAAGGTTAATTGTAAACTTTGGATGTGAAAGCCTTGGGAAGCAACAGATTTGATATGAAATTAACAAAATTTGAATGGTTAAGATAACTGACTGTATTATTTTGAATAATAGGACACTGTTATTTACAATTAACGTTATCTAATATAACGTTATGAACAACTGCGAGACATGTAGAGATTTAAATAACATCCGATTTCATGCACGATTTTTTTTTTTTTTTATCGGGACATTATTTTGTATGTTGTGACCCAAAACCGTCAAACAACCACAAAGATGAAGTCCACCAGTTTGTCAGTGGTTCGACCCCCTGTTTGTTTTTGTTTTGTCTTCATGAATGAAGAGTCTTAAACAACGTTTCCAGTAACTGCACGGACAGAAGCACTTATGAGCCTGACGCCATTAACGTGAGAGCAGCTGTCATTTTCACAACTTTTTTCCTCCACTTCAGCCTCCTGTTTAGTCTTTCGAAAAGAGACGACAATAACAGCAGAAAGAAAGCGGACAAACCTGTAACCACCACCGTCCGTTTACTGTTATCCATCGCCAGTCCCGTTGTCTTTTTTTTAACAGTACTTTCGTCTGAAACTGGACCGTAAAAGAGAGTTCAGACCCTCCGCAGCCGACGGCTTCTCCTGCCAGATTCCAAATGAAAAACACTGGTCCTTCAAGCTGCAGGCTACGTGCGGCGTGACGTCATTACGTCACCGATTAGAAGGCAGTCATTACTTGACTCAAAAACGACGAAATGGTTCACAGGCAAACGTTTTATGTCCAAATAGGTCCTCCGTTTTGATGCATTTTATTGAAACCGTCTTTTTGAAAAAAAAAAAAAAGAGAAAATTGAGAGATTAAAGGAGAAAATATAAAGATAAATCTTTAAACGATAATTCAATAATCATGGATATAGTTATTGAAAACTAGAACGGAAATCTTCTTGGACATTTAGGTTGTTGCTTTAAATTATGTAATGTTTTTTTTTCTCTGTGTGTTGTGTGTGTGTGTGTGTGTGTGTGTGTGTGTGGGGGGGGGGGGGGGGTTAGGCACTCAAGTGTTTTGCAAAGCGGGACTGTAGAGGGCAGTATCTGATCTGAGCGTGAAAAACACTGGTCCTTCAAGCTGCAGGCTACGTGTGGCGTGACGTCATTACGTCACCAATTAGAAGACAGTCATTGCTTGACTCAAAAACGACGAAATGGTTCACAATCACAGGCAAAAAATAAGAAAGACAAGCGTTTTATGTCCAAATAGGTCCTCCGTTTTAATGCATTTTATTGAAACCGTCTTTTTGAAAAAAAAAACATGAGAAAATAAGGAAATTAAAGGAGAAAATATAAAGATAAATCTTTAATCAATAATCTAATAATTTAATACAATAATCATGGATATAGTTATTGAAAACTAGAACGGAAATCTTCTTGGACATTTAGGTTGTTGCTTTAAATGATGTAATGTTTTTTTTTCTGTGTGTGTGTGCGTGCGTGTGTGTGTGTGTGGGTAAGGCACTCAAGTGTTTTGCAAAGCAGGACTGTAGAGGGCAGTATCTGATCTGCTGCTAGAAAATCTTTAGTAGAAGAAGAAAAACGACGCGGTCGAGGAAGAGCTGGTAGAAGGAGTAGAAGAAGACCGCTGATAAATCGTGTTAGAGACGTACTTAAGGCGATTAAAAAAACGAGAATCACAATGGTAAGTGTTTGATGATGGCACTGAAATAAATAATGAACCGCTGGAAGTTATCAGACATTTAGTAGCACGCCAGCTACTCAGCTAAACGCTAACTGGGTCACAATGAACCGCGGCGTGTTAGATGCGTTAGCTGACGATTAAACCTTAAAATACTAACACAGGTAACATCTTACTCACGCTTATCTTTCTCTCCAAAGTAATTGTTTTTGTTGCCTAGTGCGTCTGCAATTTCACATAACAACATTTAAGGGCTTCCTCAGTAAACTACTCCAGCAATGTATGGATTTAAATAACGAGTCTTTCCAAAATACTACTGGCCGTGAAGTGTACACGAGTTAGTAAAACACTGATGGTGATTTCACTTTGTTTGTCATTTTGCAGCTGCCCTTGTCTCTGCTGAAGACTGCCCAGAACCATCCAATGGTGAGAAGATATTAGGACGCATCTGCTGTGAAGGAGTTAATGTTACTAATGTAGACGAGTGAAAACTTTAAATGGCTTCACATTCATTAATTAAAAGTGTTTCTTGTAAACTGTTGATCATGTTAAATGTTATACATGCACTTGCAAATGTTTGGCAGTCTGCTTCTCCAGGATTTTTTTTTTTTTTTTTAGATGTGTATGATTCATTGTTATATTATATTTTGTTTTATATGTTTCTGTTGCTGCTCCGGCTGTCAGGTTTAATTAGTTTAAAATTCAACTTCCTCCCAATTCTTGTGTTTCAGCCAAAGTAGAGGGTTTTCTTCTTTTTTTTAATTTCTTTTTTTTACGAGGGTTGTAAACATGCTCTTACTTTATCCTGTCGTCCTGCATGTGTTAGAAAGCAGCTGGCTATTTGAATCAGAGTCATACATTGAATTGTGTCTTTCGTCCCTTAGCTGGTGGAGCTGAAAAACGGAGAGACCTACAATGGTCATCTGGTCAGCTGTGACAACTGGATGAACATTAACCTGAGAGAAGTCATCTGCACCTCAAGGGTAAAGCTGAGAGTTTTGCTTTAGCTTTTCTGCCGTCACTAAAACTGCAGATGAGTTCCCTCCAGCTGGAAGAAACAAAACTTAGATCTCTGTGATCCTGTTTTAGAATATAACTTTAGCTGTTGGTGTCAGTGTTTTCTTCTGAGTCTCCTGCTGTAGATGGATCTCAATCACTCCTTTTTTATAAGCATTTAAAGATTGATTAGTTTGTATTTTTGTCATGGTCCAGTTCTTATTTACTTTTCTGTTGCACTTGGTGGATATCCATACGCAAATATGTGTAAAAAAAAAAAAAATGATAATAATAACTAACAACCTTCGCATTGTATAAGCTATGATTTTTATAAAATTCTGACAAAAAATATTTACCCTTGTGTGAATAGATTGTGGTACTTTTAAAACAAGTTATTTCATAAGTATGTAAAACTGTTCAGTAACGGTAAATAGCCGAGCAGACAGGAGTGACTCAAAAATTCATTTGGGCCTGTTAACTATTATAAAAATCACTTTGGATTATTCACTCCCGTCAAAACAGTACTACAGAAACATTTTGAAGGCAAGAGTCCGTAATCCCTGCTGTCCTCTAACAGGATGGAGATAAGTTCTGGAGGATGCCTGAGTGCTACATTAGAGGAAGCACCATCAAGTATCTTCGAATCCCAGATGAGATCATCGACATGGTGAAGGAGGAGGTGGTGTCAAAGGGCCGTGGACGAGGAGGTGCCCAGCAGAACAAACAGCAGGGTAAAGGAAGAGGAGGAGCTGGCCGAGGTGAGTGGAAACACACTGCTGCAACGCGGGATATTCGATTCTGCTCTCATAACATGAGTATTTCATACATCAGATTTTGGATGATTCCAAATGTGTCATTCATTTAATCTGCACACTTTTGAATTACATTTGTAAATGACACAACAAAATGCCTCGAGATAAACTCTCTCCTAATAACATTATGGCAACCTATGCAATCGAATGCAATTCTATAATACCTTAAATTCTACTTTCACACAGCTTCTACTTTTCAGTTCTAGGTCAAATAATGGGTTCATTCTACTGGCGGCCCAGATGCTTCTGATTTCTTAGACTGTATTTTTGTAAGATAAACATTATTCTGCTGTGGTGTGTTTAGCTAACCAAAAACAAACTTAGAAGTAACTTCTTAACTTTTTGTTTTTTTCAGAGTAATTCAGACAAATTCCAACGTTTTTATTTTTTATTTTTGTTAAACAGTTGTTCTCAATATGGCCTCTTATTTCTCCCCGCAGGTCTGTTTGGTGGTCGTGGCAGAGGGATGACTGGTCCTGGGCCGGGTCAGCAGCAGCAGCAGCAGCAGCAGCAGCAGCAGGATAAGAAACCGGGCAAGCCGCAGGGAATGAAGAACCAGCACTGACAGACTACATCTTTCAGAACATGAAGATAGAATGAGCTCTCTGGTGTTTGCTCCAGCTTTGATAATTGTCAAGACTGACCACAGCAGAAATCAAACTGGGAGGGATAAGTAGAAGCTGTGCTCTGGCAGTTTTGTTTGTTTGTTTTTGAGCACACCTGTAAGTACATCATTTTTTATTATCACCATATAGTCAAAGCAGACATACTCCTTTAGTAACAATTTGTATTTGTGATTTTCTATCATTGTAAGTTAAGTCAAATAGTTACTGGAGACCCCACTGGATTTATGTTTTTCTTTTCTGTTTTTGGAACATTTTGTGGTGAAGTAACACCCAGCCCCAACTTCTGTTGCATGAATATTATTTTTTAACTTGCTCTTAATTTTGTGTTGTTTGTGACATCCTGTGATGAGCAGCCTTTCTGTTTGACGTGAGGTCTGTTCACAGCTGTGAAGCCGGTAGACTGGTACTCAGGGTATGAGGATACAGTCCCTTTAAAATGAAAGCTTTTTCTTTTAGGATATGTATGATGACATACTATGATCATTTAGAGTTTCATGGGGGGAAAAGAAGATTCTCATGTTCTTAATGTACAAGTCCAACATCTGTCATGTTTGGAGGGTTTTGTTTTATTTTTGTAACAGAAGACAGTGTTGTAATTTATTTACAAGACAAAATCAGAATAAAACAACTTTTGTTAAAGTGGTTGTATTTTTATTAAGTACAGATTGTTCTAAAAGATTTACTCCTTTTGGTCATATCAACTTGATATCAAATATTTTACTTTTTCACTTAGTAATTTCTCTGGAAATAAAAACATTTTATTGATTGATTTATGTTAATGATCAGCAATAGAAAGTTTAAGCCTATAACAAAAATAAGTGGAAATACTGGGTACAAGGTGCATGTGGATAATATGCTGACTCATTTAGATCCCTTTGCATCTAAAAACTTGTATGAATTTAAACTATATTTATCTGACTGCAAGAGCAGTTTTTAGTTTAAATTAAGTGAATTATTTATGTAACTTGTTAAATACATTAACAGCATCAAGACTAGTTCACTATTACAGTATTTTGATTAGTGAACTCAAATGTAATCTTTACCAAATTTAATTATCCTTCATCTTACCACTAAAATAAAATATTGTTACTGCCTCAAGGTGTACAGTTGTGAAAGGATATACACTTTAAGTTCTTCATGGAATCAGAAACCTCAATAATGATTATGTAACTGACATCATTTTATTAACTTGAAAGCCTTATTGAGGCATGGGTCCACTTACAGGCGTTTAAACACCACAGCGGTTACTGCAATGATGACAACAATAATGGCCGTTATTTTAAGACTGCTACGACCAACATGACCAGACTGAGGAAACAAACATAAATCAGATATATCAAAGACACTCAATAAAAAGCATCACAATAAATTCCATATGAACTAAGAGAGAATACTTAATGTGAATGAAAATCAGAATACATGAAAAGTCTGCATGATTACATTTCTTATCCAGTTTATCTTTCCAACAGGGGTGTCCAAACATAAGACCTTGCAGGTTACCTGCAGCTCGTGATCCATTTTTTTATTGGCCTGCAGCACCCAAAAAATTTAGATACATTTTTCTAGCTTTAAGCCCTTATTTAATAGAACAGTGGACAGAGTAGGAAATTGGGACAAGAGAGTGGGGAGTGACATGCAGGAAAGGAGACACAGGTAGGACTTGAACCCGGGCTGCCTGTTTGAAGGACTGAAGCCTCCATTTAGCAGGCACAACCTAACCCATTGGCCATCAGCTCCATGGCTGGCGGCAAATTCTAAAAATAAAATATTATAGGGCCTGAATTAGCACATGAAGCTTGTGCTTGACTGTATTGTTCTTCTTAAGTTTTGACATTAGGCAGCGCGGCTGTGTTCAACTAGGCAGATTCTCCAAACTCACTAGACAGGTGCAATCACTCAAAGAAGATTTGGCATGGGTGATGAAACATGATCAAAAAAAAGCAAATATTGTAAAGTTTACAAAAACTGTTGAATTATGGCAGGTTAAAAAAATCCCAAATCCCAAATTATTAAAAAATGATTAACCCTGAAACATATATAAAAAAACAATCAATATCAAAGTCTTAGTTAATTTGTGCTGAGTAGGTTCTGATCCTTCATGTAAGGCTCAGACACAAATGAATGATCTCTTATAAACTGATATAGGGCAGTAAATAAGCAGCTAGCTCATGATAACATGTAATAAACTGTTTGATCAAGGAGTTACAAGAATGGAATACCCTTCGCTATATATTCATCTTTCACACAACAAATCAGGAACAAATAAAGGCGGAAAAAAATGAAAACAAAATCAAATCAAACTTGGTTTTCTTACATTTAACCTGATAATCTCACATTTCTACAACACATCCACCTCATCCCTCCATAAGCAACTCCTGCCTTGCTGTGACAGAGTATTTCCAGGTCTCTACAATCTGGGACAGCGTCAGGTTTTCAGGAAACTTGTCCTCCACGTAAAGAGGCACCTCCACCTTTTTACCGTCCATGTAAGCCGCCACAGTCTCCTTTACACTGAGAACAGAAAAAAGTTGTTTAAGTCAGTCACTCACACCTCTTTGCATAGTGGATATATGGGGGCTAGTATAGTAATATGTACAGCATTCGAGTCTTTCTAAGAGTTTTACCCCCAGGTTGGTGTGTAATCATCAGTGGCCCTTGGGCGGCCCAGATTCAACAGGAGGAACTCGTGCATCTCAAGCAGCCATTGGTCCACGATGCCCCTGGACAGGAAGCCCTTCAGCTCTATCTTATCTTCCTCAGTCAGCTGCATCTGGTATTCAGTTGGATACCCCGAAAATGGCTCCTTATAATAGAAACAACATGAAAGGGAAGTGTCATTTTTGTGCTTGTAGCATATTATTTAATGAGCGAAATAATGAATGAATGAAATTGTTATCAGACAAACAGTCGAGACACAGCAAACACAAAGAGAAAGATTTTTATAGGAAATGAAAGCAAGCGGGAGAATGATGCTTATACCCAGGTTTTTTTCATTGATTGTTGTTCTAATATTAAACGGCTAACACCGCATCACTTACCCTCTTGAGACGCTGCAGCATTTTTTCTGATTTGAGGGAGGAGAGGAGTTGCCACAAACAAACACAATGTCTGAGGGTGCATCTGCCCAGAGCCTGAAGAAACACAACAGCAGAAAAGAAAGAAAATAAATTAATTTAAAACTACAGAATTTCATTAATTGTTTAGTTTTGCTGAGACACCTAAAGTGAGTAATTTTTGATGAATCATTGTTTCATACATAGACTTTTATTTTGTCAACAATTACTTAATTTAATTCATGATGATTATGTAGTTAGTCATAGTCTTGTTGTCAGAAACTCCTTGGAAATTCTTAGCCAAATTAAAAAAAAGTTTCAAAATCCCTGTTATTTCAATACACACACCAGTCTGCCATAATCATGCCTTCGCCCAGCATTGCTGGACAATACTTTTGCTTTGTGGTGTGAAAAAGGATTAAAGTGTATAGGAGATTTTTATTTGGACAACAAGTTTGCATCTTTTGGGCAACTAAGTTTAGAGTATAATCTACCTCATTCACATTTATTACGTTATATGCAACTTAGGCACTTTGTAAGAGAAAACATCCCTAATTCTGAGTCAACCTGTGAGAGATACCCTCTGTTAGAATTGCTTTCTCTTTCACCAGAGAGTAAGAAGCTTATCACTAAATTTGTTAATTATTTCTCTGAGGATTCAGTATCTGCTAATTGTATTAAGAAGGCTTGGGAAAGAGAAATCAATGCTGCATTGCCTGATAAACTATGGAGAACTGCACTATCCTGTATTCATAGTTTTTCAATTAATTGTAGACACAGGTTAATTCAGTTCAAAGTCATTCACCGTTTTCATTATTCTAAAGTCATGCTTCATAAGATTTACCCCCCTGTGTCTCCAATATGTGACAAATGTAATTCAAAAGATGGCACTTTACTGCATTTATTTTGGGATTGTCCATTAATTTATCAGTTCTGGTCTAGAATTTTTTCGTTTTTTTTTGTCTGGGGTTTATCACAGGTCTCGCTCTCCTGACAGAACTTTGGCTCTCTTTGGAGCTTCAGAGGACTCCGTATTGATCCCTTTATATATCCAAACAGCTCTTTCTGTCCATGGATTGGTTTGTGGGTTTTCACTCTTGTTTGTATTGTGATGTCATAAAAATGTAAGTAAAAATAAATAAAAATGATTATGTAGTTTTCAATGTTCTAAATGTAGATAGGGACTAATGTTTGCTTTCAGAGTCATTGTGTACAACTGTTGTTGTGATTAATGAGGAGGACCAGCAGTTCTATGATCAAAGTGAAGATGTTTTATCTTGAGTGTAGTGTTGTTGTACTCGAAATCAGTCTTGGTCTCAGGACCGGTCTGGAGACCACTTTTTGAAGGTCTCGTCACGGAATCGAAAGTATTTTTACTTGGTTTTGTCTCAGTTCAGGACTCCGGACTTTAAATCAAGACCAGTCAACAGCACCACTGATATTAAGGTTTATTTATTTCATTACTGAGATAAGAAAGAGAAACGCCTCTTTCTAAAAGAACAAATAACTTCAATCCATGAATAATTTGATTTGTATCCCCCAGTTAAGGCCATAAGCTTCCTGGTGTAAAGGAAGAAGTGCGTGCCTGCTGCACACAATATGATGATTTGTTTATTGATATGTATGGTCTTGATCCTGTCTCTGTCTCGCCCTGCCTTGGTCTTGACCCGGTCTCGATCCCTAAAAGGTCTTGGTCTCGACCCGGTCTCGATCCCTAAAAGGTCTTGGTCTTGACCCGGTCTCAATCCCTAAAAGGTCTTGGTCTTGACTCGGTCTTGCAGCACTCTGGTCTCGGGTACGTCTTGGTCTTTACAACAACACTACTAGAGTGGGACATGTCACTGACAACTGGAACTGACTTTGTCTGGACTGATCAGTGAAAACAGCTTTAATACGCTCAATTGACAATGAAATCAAATAACATCCTTCAGTCTCCAAACCTTTTAAGAAAACGTAATCACTTCAGGCACAGAAGCTTCTCACATGCACTGACCTTCAATGTTTGATGATCGATGTTGTTGGCCATTTTCAGGACGTCCTGCAGGTAAGCGACCAGTGGCATCATGGGATCACCACCTGTCATTGAGAGGAAACCCAGAAGCAACTCCACGATCTTGAGTGCCTCACATACCTCGCTGTAGGACTCCAGCTCTCTGGACAAGGCATTCCGGGTCAGAGAGGACAGAGTGTCCTAGAAAAAAACAAAAAACAAGTGTGGAGGAAGCATAAAGCCATTATCTTACCAGCAGAAATAATGATTCCATGTATGTATATGCTTAACACAACTTTAGATCCTAGATTACATTTATTATTGAATGACAACTTTAAATATCTATAGCCTTAGAGAAAAGATACATGACATTTAACAGATGTGAACCACCACTGTAAGTTATTCTGAGTATTCACATAGCATCGCTACGAAAAATGAAAAAAACAGTATTTGTTTAATATTGAATACCCAGCATGCCATTATCTAACCCTGTACAGTGCAATCCACATGAATAAATGATATAGGAGATTTTTTTTCACGCCTTTAGGACAGGAGAGTGGACAGAGTCAGGAACAGGGACGAGAGAGTGGGGGGATGACGTGCGGTTAATGGCAGAGAGAGGATGTGCGACTCAGGGACACCACTAGAGGGCAATAGCCTCTGATCATTGGATGAATGATTTTACCACCCAGCTAAACCAGCGTAACTTTGAACTTTATCACTGTAAATATGTAAGTACAATGTTCTTTTCATCAGAAATAAACTGTTGCATATTGTGAAAAAGAAAAGTCAGGACTGAATGATTTACCTGATGCACTTTTCCTTTAACAGCTTTGAAAATAGAGTCATAGTCTCTCTCTTGTGTGTTGACCAGAGTAGGAATTCCCTGAAATAAAGAGCAACAAGTTAATTGAAGCAGGAAATTACAGACACAAGACTTTAAAACAATTAAGCAGGTGCTTCAAATACAAAAAAAAGAGTTATGACTTGGTTTGTGAATTTGAATTTGTGTTACCCAACACAATTAATGCCATTTAAGTTTGCCTAGTAATAAGAAGTATTACAAATAACAGCCAAAAATCAACCCAGTCAAACAAATTGTCTGCTTTCCTTTGTCTTGGTTAGCTCTCATCTTTTGTACAAAATTTTTAGTGCATGTATGTTGATGCTCCTGATATTTACACAAAAAAAGAAACCTGCCTGTGTGGACTTACTGTGCGGGTGATGAGGGGTTTTCCCTGCAGGAAGCGGGTGAGGATCTGCCGCTGGATCCTGGGCAGATCATATTGTGATATTGTCTCATGGCCCCGTTCCAAGCTGTACTGGCAGTTGGATAATATCAGAGGAAGCAGGTCTTTGTCCACCTCGTAGTGGATCACATGCTGCTCTGTGAGCTCTGCCACACTCTCTCTGTAACTGCTGTGAACATCCCATTACAAACATTTTTAAAACTCTTTACTCCAGGAGTAAAACTTTTTTCATCCAAATTAAACAAAGCATAAACTGTGATTATTCTATATTTTTCTATGTCTTTCACTTAAATCAATCAGGGCATCTTGCAACTGTGTCATTACACACTTGCTTGATTAAGCTTAAGAGTTCTCTTCTGTTATGTGTTGGATAAAAAACTGTAATTTTTTGTACCTGTTGTCCTCTCCAGTCTGAGTATCCACAGCATTCACCAGCTCGTTTTGTAGTGACACCAGGTAGCTGACCAGCCCTGTGGCACACAGTCCTGGACCCTGATGCCGGGGCAGGAGGTACTGCAGGTCGCTGTCCAGGCTTAAGTCATGGCTGCTAAATTCATCAGGTATCTTCATCTCATCTGAAGGTTGGAAAGGACTTTAATCGTACATTTCCTTTTTGGTCTTTTACCTCTCAAAGAACTTCCCTACTCATTCCAACTTGCACACCTATGGGACAGCTTTTGAGAGCAAGTGCGGCCTGTCAACAAGGACACTTCAGCATCTAGACAGGAAGAGCAAGATCTACAGAATAGTGGACGACCTGACAGCCACCTTCAATGGTTTATCGTATCTTATTTAATAATATATGAGTATGTATATCTCCTAAGTGCTTGTGAAACAGCAGTTCTTCATTAATCTTGTTACACATGTATTAAGGAAAACTTAAAGTCAACACAACTTTATTAATTCAAACACAACAGAGCTGATCCAACATGCTCCCCATAGAGGAAATCTCAAAAACACACAGACACACTGAATTATGTAGGTAAACTCAATGGGCCTCATTCACTAATATATGCGTAGAAATGTTCTTACTTGCATAAAATAAGTGCATACGCAAAGACACGTGCATACCAGCCAATTTTGTTCTCACCACATTGCGTATATTTTATTGAATCAGAATCATTCTAAATGAGTGATGCCATGAGTATACTAGTAATGTATGTTCCCTGCATGCCCTCAAAAATGCTCCAATTAATCAGCTGGTTTTGGTAACAGATGCTATATTTCATGACACTATAAGTGGGAGTGGAAGTGGTCAACGATTAAATTAAATGGTAAACCGTTACATTTCAACATGTATATTGGCATATTCTTGATTGTAAATTCTTTAATTTAAGATTTAAGATTTAAGGAGAATAGCCTAATAAGGATGAGAAGGCATACATTTTATAGATATTTAATACATTTAGTCAATGCATTAGTAAATTCACATTTTTAATTGTTGTCTATTAAACATTTATTTATATATATATATATATATATATATATATATATATATATATATATATATATATATCATTTTAACATTTTCTGAGAAAGCAGATCTTTTTATCATGTGTGCGTACACATGGTCTCAGGAAGTTCGAACTTTGTCCGCAGAGTAAGAATAAATTCAAGTAAGAATATTGATTGTTGTATATTGTATATTGATGAATCTCAGATTTACGCGCCAAACGTTCGTACAAACGGTTTAAAAACAGATTTGTGCATACGCACTGCTTGTGAATGAGGCCCATTGTGTTTCCCTTGAATATTAAAATTGTAAGGGAAATACTCACTGCTTGTTACAGACACTCTAAGCAGATTCCAAGCTTTCAGGAAGGTGTCGATGTGTTTCTCATACCATGCTCTTAAATCTGGAACAAGACATTTTCAAAGTAATAACTAGTTTAATTTAGAATAAATTAAACAAGAATAAAACTGAGTGTGTGTAAAATGACATGCGGAAGAATCCAACCTGGGATCACAGCTTTCCCCTACAGGGTCTGACACAGAAACTCAAACTATGATTTTCAAGTTTCTGCTTTAAAAGCTTGTCCAACTGATTTTAGTGAATTAATTGTGAACATTATGAGAATAAACAAGGCTAAGGTTACTAGTCACTGATAAAGCAGCTTTACCTGTTTGCTTCTTGATGAAATCTCCGATTGAGCCCCCTATTTGATCTGATGTGTTCTGGAACTTTCTCACCAAGTGTTTCTGCAGGGTAAGGATGCTGGGAAGATGCTTAATCTGCCGAAATTCTCTCTCCTGAGCAAAAATAAGTAAATCAATCAGTCAGTCAATCAATCAATCAATCAATCAATCAATCAATCAATCAATCAATTAATCAATCAATCGATCAAAAAGCTGCTCATCATGCCTCTGTTTCTAGAGGCAGCAAATGGCCTGGATAAATGTCTTGACATGTAAAAACTTGTTGATAAGAAGTGATGACTGTCCATATTTCATCCTTTGGAAATAAATATTTACAAAACAAAACAAAGTCTGGAATCTAGATCAAAATCTTAGATCCAAAGGAGACTTTGAAGCCTTTTTTGTCACAAAGCTTTAAATCTCAAATCCATCTCACCTTCTGTAGGAACCTCCACAGAAGAGGTAGATCCTCCTTCTGGTCATTTTGCTCCACAATGTGTGTGAGGCGGAGCAACGACAGTCTATCTCTGCAACTCCACACAGCGGAGCTGTGGACTTGAGAGCACTGAGCCAGTGATGTGAGGAAGGTGCAGTCATCCCCCAAAGTTGTTCTTATGATGAAGTTGGAGGAAACACGGGAGTCAGTTCTGATGCTCCCCTTTGCTTCTTGCAGGAGCAGATCTAGATCCTATAGACACAAAATCAATGCTGTTTAACAGTTCAGGGCCTTCCTGCCTTTTTTATGCTTCATAATGTTCCAAACTTTTTTGACAGGGCAAACTTATTGAGTAATTATAATAAAAGTAGTTTTTTTTAATGTTTTCCCATTAGAAGACACTGATGACATAAAAGTATTAGTAAAACTGCAACTTAATAGATATCATAAGCCTTATTGGATAAAACGGAAAAAGGTTTTAAAAAAGGACAATAAAAGGTGTTACCCTCAACCGGGGTGTCATTATTTCTGCAGCGACAGTAGTCTCCCAGTTGTTTCTGGATTCTTTAGTTGACAGGTGAAGATCAGTATCAGCTAGACAAAGTCAAACAGATTATTATTTTCTATCCTTAAATAAAAAATAAAAAACACTCAGAAACACTACAGTGCTTCCATACAATAGATCATTTTTCATTACGACCTAAGTATTAATAAAGTATCATTTTAAATCCACTTCTGTGTGTGTGTGTGTGTGTGTGTGTGTGTGTGTGTGTGTGTGTGTGTGTGTGTGTGCGTGCGCGTGCGCGTGTGTGCTGTCTCGTCTCTTTCTATTCTGTTCATGACTTGATCTAAACATATTTTTCTGCAATCGAAGACAAATACAATGTGTGACAGCACTACAGCTCCATATATGATAAGACTAAAGGGTTTGGACAAACAGATGCCCTCTATTCTTACTAATCATTTTCGGGTGTTGGTTTTCAATAAGAGTAACTGTCAGTGAACATACTTTATGTGAAACCTTAAAAACTTTTTTATTTAATGATGAAAGAGAGAAATTGGGCTTACAGTGACTGGTCTGCATTAGCTCTTGCAGAGATCTAAGCACTAGGTGGACAGTTGTAACAGTGTCGTCAGCGCCCCTTCCCAGTGTCTGGGACAGCTGTTCCAGATCCTTTAATATGTGCAGAGTAAGAAACTGACAAACATCCTCAACAGGTGGCTGGATGATGTTCTGGACAAACTAAGGGAAGAAAATGGGGGAGAATGTAAAAAAATAAAAATCACTATTGTATTCAAAGAGGCATTATTATCTGCAAAGAACCATTTTAATCTCAGCCTTAATGGCATTACAATCTGACAGTGTTACCTAAACTTTCTGTGCTAGCACAGTTCTGCTCACCTGGGGCTTCTCTGAGGCTCCCAACAACATCGGCAAATGTGTAACAAGTCTGACAAGAGTAAAGGGAGCCAGAGACATGTTTTTGGTGTCCAGAGCATTGGGGTTGTTTCTCTGCTCAGGGTCCCCTAGGATGTGTCCAGGTCTTGTCTGATCCCTAATCATCATAAAGTCAGTTAGTCAGTTGTTCGGGAAGTTATTTAAATGTTTAAATTAACATAAATCTGTAGTTCAAATACATTTAAATAAACTAAAAATGTCCATCCTAGTGTTGCTAGTCTTTAATTAATAAAGACAAATTATCTCAAAATCTAAACCTGGAGTATTTTTGTCACGCTGCATCGTATGACATAACTTCAGTACACATTTAAATCATCATTGTATGGTCAGCTGGCAACATACTGCAATAAACATTTCAATATTAACAATATCTTAGAATTTGCATTGAACCAATACTTAAATTACTAAACAGGAATTGTCTCAACAGCCTTACTTTTATCAGCCTCGAAAGAACCAAATACTTTTAAATGATCCCTCCTAATATAATGTCTCAATTTTAACGGAAGTGTCTAAATAAAGGAGAAGATTAACTCTGGCTTAACTGTTACAAACACACAATACAGTGCAAGACTGTAGCTTGACCAATGATGGCACTCACTGCTGCAGCTGTGTTTTTCTGAATCCGGGCAGAGCTACATGTTTGGCCCCTCCAATCTCTTGGCGACATTCCAGACAGATGCCCTTCTGCATGGGCAGACCACACTGTAGTGAAACAAGGCAGAGTGGATCATTGTGTGTGTGCGTGTGTGTTTTTTATAGCTACTGTTTGTTTTAACCAGTAGACTGTCTGGAACAGCTGTGCAGATAAATAATCTGGAGTTGTTTTAAAATTAGCTCACCTCGTCAACAACGCATGGATGATTATTTGGACACACTAAAAAACAAACAAAAATAAAATTAGGACAGTTTACAATTCAATGCTAATAACTCGGAGCAATATGGAGTCAACTTACATATAACAAATGACAGAAACAAAAGAAACTCATAATAATAACTATTGATTATTGTGGTTAATACATAGATAAAATAACACTTACCATACCAAGTATATCTCCCTTCTGTATTTTCAAATACTGTGCGAGCAGCAGCTAACATGTCATCAGGCATTGTGGGTATAAATGCCTCCTGTTCAGTCAAATAAAATGAAAAGGCTTAATTTGGCATGACAGTGACATTAGAATGATCATTAGTTATTACAAAGCTACATGTTATTTAATGGGGAACCCTTCAAACTTTTGTAGCAAAAAAAAAAGAATACATTCAGAGTTTTCAAGATATGTTCCTCAAAGCACAAAAAAAGATCTTATGTCTCTTTAAAGGTCAATATGAAGGCAAGCTTAAATCCCTCCCACCATTTGACTTTGGAAGGTCCCTTAAACTTGAAAAATTCCCAGCCATTTAGCCATTTGATGCAGGAAAGCTATTTTATAGATGGAAAGAGGGGAGTTGATGTTCACCTGCATATTTTCAGGAAACAGGCCGAGCTGCTTGAGTGGCATCAACAGAGGCTGAGTCCCAGTGAGCAGAACAACCTCTAGATGAATAGTCAGCTCGATGACAGTGTTGTGTGTAATAGGATGGTCAGGGTTCATGGTCAGGGCTCCCAACCTGTTGTCAACCAAGGCTGAGGCAAAGGTCCTCAATTCTTCTTGATGCAGATATCTTGAGCCCTGGATGAACTCTTCAAATACTTGTCTTCGCTAAAGGAAGGATATACAGTGGAAATAATCAAGATTTGAACAACATTATATCATTAATGATGTATCGTACTACCAGTACTACAAACTTCCACTTCACTTCTACTTTCAAATTTGTGCTTTTTCTTTGCCTGAGTTCTCGTGGTACAAGTTTATAAGAGTTCTCACATGAAAACATCTGAGGGATGATTTAACAGAAATGGTGTAATTTTTTTTAATAATCTGTGTTCGATATACAATTGTGAATTAGTCAAATAAAGAACATTTCGGTGAACTTGTAATACATTTTGAATTCCTAAATATTTAGAGCCATGCATGTTTCAGGAGAAGTCACAAAATCTATGAATTGTTCTCCTGAATGACATTTATCCCCTTTTTGGACTTTTGGCCATGTTTTGTTGGGATCTGAAAGAGTCTTGAACTTAAATCTATCTTTTTTTCTTATTGAATTAAAAGTGTTTTATTCCAAACATGTACAAAGAACAAAAGGTGAACATGAAAAATCTTTCCGTTTCTAAAGAGTTGTGTTTTATCACTCAGCATACCTCAGGGGTCAGGTGAAGTCCTGTATTTGCAGACCTGTACAGAGTTGTGACCTCTCGGAAAAGTGCCAGGAGGATGAACATTGTTCGATTCCTTGGTGGTGCAGTGCATTTCTAAATCAACAAGAAATGAACCTAAATTAAGAATTGATGAGCTAATGTCTTAGCTGAATAGTTAGTTGGTTCCAGTGTTAGCTATAGGAATGAACTACAATGTGAAAAAATGGATTGGTATGTTAATCAAAAAACAAAACTTTACCCGCTCAGGTTATGTTCAGATATTCAGCTTTAATAAGGCTACAAAGCGTAGTACTTTCATGAGTTATAATCCTGACGATACACTCTATGAGCAACACAGATTGTCAGTGGAGGTAACATATATGCAAAAGCATATCCATATGCATAGGGTAACATTACATCAGTCGTGACCCAGAAAGAAGCCAGGCAGTTTCACTAGCATGTCAGAGATCATATTAATTTCACTTTACTTTATAATTTTTTTCAGACCCATTGGTCCATATTGTCGTAATTTTTTAAAATAGATGTAATAACTGAAAATAAAAAGCCTTTGTGGCAAAACACAATAAAAGCATGCAGGAAATGACTCAAATTCATTCAAAAAAGTGCATGGAGGATTGCAAGTAGCAGCAAAGACTTTGAATTAAAGTTCAAATACCTCACAGACTTCTTCAATCTGCTCTACTTCACCACCCACTACTGCCATGGCAACAGCATCCCTCACCGCCTTGTACTCCTCTCCATACAAAAGATACTGGTCCATCTGGCCTCCATCTTCATTCTGTTCACATCGTGAATGAAGTTACAAAAGTAACAAATACATCAGGATACAATGATAATAAAGGGTTTCAGATTAGATGGCCTGTTAATTGGGAAAACTTTGAGTTGCTACTTGTTTTTTTTCTTCATGTAATTATGATCAAATATTTAGGGTTCTTTTTTGATTCAATAGATTTCCAGGAGTCAATCGGGTGTACCTGTTGATGGATCTCTGCAGGAAAAAGCCAGGTGAACTTTGGTTTTTTCACCAGTGCCTGAACAAACTCGACCCCATGCTTTCGACTGAGCTTGCGGATCAGATAAACACGGTACCAATCATTCCCACTGTCCTCACAGAGCTTAATCACCGTATTCAGGAAATCTTCAGCTCCGTCTGGGACATCATTTTCTGTAACAGCAATGTAGTCAAATAGGCTTCATTCTCTTTAACACACATAAACAGTCAATAGAAGTGAAGTTTATCTTACCAGACAGATTGTCACTGATGATCTGGGCAGCCAAGGTGAGGCACACACGCAATCCTGCAATGTGTTGGAGATGTTGAATTGACACTGTTTCTGGAACAGATGTGACATCATCCAAAAAGGAGCGCAGGAATTTTGTTTCATCATCGGCAAAAGGCGCCAACTCTTCAGTTTTGTTGCCTTCCTGAGGCATTCTCTCCCACATGGAGTCCTTCAAAGAAACAATGTGATTGGAGCATCAGCAATGAGTTATTTAAAATGAACTTATCAGCAATGTGTAAAGACTTAAACAACCCTTTATTGTTACAGCTGCCACATACACAGCTCCAGAACCCCATAAGTCCCATTCAGATATTGTAGGATAGTTGTAAGAAAATGTTAGCCACTGGGTCAAATCCAGCTCTCTATAGCAAAGTAATCTGCTCCTTCATGAAAGTGAATTTATGCGTCAAAGCTTGATACAAATCTTTTGCCTGATTTTTCTCAGATAATCTTCTCATAAATGTAAATGCAAGGCTCAAGTAGATAAGGCATGTTCAAACACATCTTAGGCTTTATTTTTTAAACTAAACAAAGAAAACCAGATAATCATGTAAAAGTATATAGAACAAAAGACTAACTATATCAAGGTGGTTGTTTTTTATGCCTGTTACTGCTGTCTCTCTTATCAACAACAATAAGTTCCTCATAGCTGCTTTGAATTAAACATTGAATGATGCTGGGAATAAACGGTCGATAATTATCACGATCATGGTCAATCATTATTTCTTCCAAATTGAAAAGCTGATTTTTACTCCTGTGTCAAAGTTGAAGAAACCAGATAGAAGAAGAAGAACAAGATTTACTTTATTGATCCCTGTGAGGTGAAATTTCAGTTTTTACACTCTGTAGTCAAGCAACACACACATAGGCTGAAGTATATACATACATGCACACAAACAGGAGGTTAATTATGGTTTAATTATACTTTATTTTTAATAACATGATAAACTTTATTTAAACAGGAACATTTCACCATCATAAGCTCAGTGCACGGAGCTGGAAAACACTGATATGACAGTTTGATGCTGGGGAGTAACACTTACTGGGGGTCCACACCATAGACTGTTTATATTATTTACAATATGGTCCACACTAACACTCGTTTGGGACTTTTTTCATTTAATGTTTTAAATGGGGAACAGGTTTGTGGTTTTGCACATTTTTGCTTATTAAATACTCCAAACGTCTGTAAGCCCGCCTACTGCTATCCCTGCGACATGATTGGCTGTTTGTCGTCTTTTTCTTCTTCCCTTTAATGTCAGGTGGCAACTAGCGTCCAAGGCATATTACCCCCCCCCCCTTCCATTTCCCAGTGGTTGGATGGTGTAATTAAAGGTTTAAATCTATCGAACGTTTATCAAACATTTTTTATATTTATACTGACATATGAAAAACAATATATCGCAAGAATTATTGTTATATTGCCGAGGCCTACCCTGACATGAAACACAAATGATCCCTTTGCTGATATCGTTTGTTTGAATGCTTTTCAATCCCAAATAGGCTCAAATCAAAGTGTCAGAAATCTTACTAGGCTGCCTACATACAGCTTCACTATTTATTTTATTACCACTCAAACTGACTTAAAGGGGATACTTCACTTCACTTGTTCTGTAGCTTCAGTGGTTGAAAATATGAGGAACTAGCGTTGTAGTTTCACCCTGCTAACCGCAACAGCTTCCAGTGATCACTGGAAGCTCCTTTTCAGACTTATAAATACAAAGATTGATGGGGGAAAATGAGGGCGGGATGCACGACCATTCAAAAATACTACCAGGTTTGTAATGATAAAAAGCTTAATGCAAATGGGTGAAGTATCCCTTTAATTAAATTCTTGATTGAAAAGTGGACTTTTTAAAAAATGTTTAATCATTGATAAAAAGATGTTTTACCTCCAAGCAGTTGATGTACAGGGCGTAAAGTTCTGCTGTATCCTCCTCATGCACAAACCTGCTGTCCTCTATAGATGACAAATGCTGCTGCAAATATTCCTTGACTTCATCAAAGCTGAAACACAGTTAATTTGATCATAATTGTGGTACAGTGCAGAACAGCTTGGAAAGGTAAAGAAGAGTAGCTTGAATTTATGTAGACATAGCCTTACAAACAATTCCTATAACTTGACTTAGCAGCTCTAGGGTCAAATATCCACTCACTGTTCCTAACTGGCAGGAAACATGTCAAAATATATAAGTTCCTTTTGGGTCTATTATTAGTTTACCAACCTGAACTTGAGCAGCAGCTTGAGGATCACAGATCGAACGACTGGGTTCTTATCAGGAGACTCATCAAAGGGCGACAAATCTTTGGTGTGAATCTCTCTGTTTTCTGGATTGAAAGGAGTGAACAGTTATAAAAAAGGAAAATTAATCTAATCTGATTAAAACATTACAAACTAGAAAATTGCCCCCTTGGCGTGGCCAAGTTGAAGGCCTGGTTCCCCCTTGAACTCTGATTGGCTACCCCAGGTGCCAAGCCAAAATGTTAAACCATGATTAGCTATTTGTCTTGTCAGAGGTGGGATTTATGATTAAATCAACTATTGACGCTGTGTTACTACAGGTTGTGAGTAGCTTTCTTCGTATTTCAATATGGCACATTTCCTTTAGTTATGTCCTTAAAATTAGACATTTTTTTAGTTCTCAAAAGCCCCTCTCAGACTGCTTTTTTCGCAAAAGTGAAGCAATTTAGCTCAGCCGTCATGACGCCTTTGTACAAACACATTGATTCCATGACGGCGTAATATTGGTGTTCCAGTCTGTAAATTCACATTGCCTTTTGGAAGCACGGCACAGCAAGAGCTCCACATAAACACAGAGTCAGACATGCACGCACACACAGCGCTGTGATCCCCTGCTGGCTCAGCTGATACCGTCTCGCCTCTGTAACACCTCTGTTACTGCCTTTCAAAGACGGTGCAGAGAGATGAACTCCCTCCTTTACTCCCTCCATTATGAAGCTCTACAAAAGAGGTTACCTGTCTCAACCATAAGGTAGGACAATAGGTGCTTGATGACGTCCCTGGCTGGTGGCGAGTTGTCCTTGAAGCATACAGTGGAGAGCAAATCAATGAAGAAACCGTTGCAACGCCGCCTGAATTCTGCATGTTTCTTGACAGTCACCCTGCAGTCACAAAAATTCACAAGAATGTTAAATGTAAAGAGATGCCATTTTAACAGTTTTTATTACAATATTTGTAGTTCAGCTAAGCTTAGCCAACTTATCTCTTCAAGTAACACTCTGTCAACCCTCACATTTTTTTTCTTCCATTTTTATGCTAAGGTCCTTTTTCTGATTGGTACAATTGTTCAAAGCAACATCCACTGAATCACACAAGTATTTTCATCCACAACATGGTAAATAAGTGTTTTTATACTGAAACTGTTCACACTCACATTAGGTGGAATATAGTCATACAGGAGTGAGATGTACCTTAAGTTTTAAAGGTTTACATTTTTAATGACTTGTGAAAAATCTTACCGGATTTCCTCTGAGACATGTGGCTGAAAGTCATTTGGTAACTCCTGTCTGCACGTGGGACATGCTGTCTTTCCTGCATCCAGACTTGCTCTGATGCATGTTAAGCAGTAGATGTGATGGCATGGCAGTCCCACAGGGTCCTGAGGCTTCCTCATACACACCCGACACTGAAGTCCAAACCTTAAAAATGGAAGAGAAAAATATATATATTTTTAAAAGTAAAAAAATAAATATATATATATATAATGCGGATTCATTGAGATTCTGGTAAAAGACATTCATCACACTTTCTGTTAAAAAAAAATAGAACTGTCAAATTAAGGAGCACTTACCTGAAAAAAAGATCACTTGCGCTCTTCTCGCAGGATGTTAGTACTTGAATTACTGCCCTAAAAGCGCTCATTTGTTTAACATCGGAGTCTCTATCCAGAACCTAAGAGTCAAAAACATTTCATATAAAAATGACATTAGCCATAATGGGGATTTTCATAACATTTTCCTTTTTGCTGTACAACATAATGACATCGAATATAATTTAAGGTTACTCAAATTACACAGACAGATGGGTTAAAAGAAGAAAGTTCATCAAACTAGACAAAAGCTGCATTCCTTGTATCTGTTTTTATGACATTAATCAGTTATTAAAAATCGACTTACCCTGCTTAAGGTCTGGATGTGACTCTGGACAAGAACTCTGATCTGATTCTCATCATTATGGAAACCCAGCAGCATGTGCTCCGCAAACAACGAGAGTATGTGAATGCGCTTCCAGCCATTACTACAAAATATATCAAAACCACAGTTCATTTGTTGTTGTCACATGACAACAAGGCAGTATTTTAAAGGGCCGGTATTTTCTTTTAAGGAAATGGTGAGCACTAAACAGCTGGTTAAATAACAGCATCATTCATTAAATATATATGAACTTTGCAATGTTGAGAGCACCATTTCTTATTTTCACTGCAGCTATTTTACAAAAAAAAGATCTGCAGAGACCTGATCTTTAATTTTCTCTCCACATTAAGTAGCTGCTCCAAACCTTGCTTAAAGCCCACATATTTTCATGTTATTGACCGAAAAATGTCTGTCAGACAAATAGACTTCTGATCAAGTAGAAAAGGGCAACAAAAGTTCACACTTTAGGGCAATTCAAAGATACAGGGTCATAGGATCAGCTTGTGACAGGATGGGAGTATCTAGAAAAAAATGATTCACCAGATTCAAGTTTTTTTTTTTGTATTTGAATCATATAGGCGTCTTACCTGACAGCCTGGAGTATTTCTTTGCATCTTTGTCCATACAGTTTGGTGTGAATGTGGGAACAAATCATCTCTAAAGATGCTTGCAGACTCTTGACCTGCTTAAGCCAGTCCTGGCAGAGAGCATCAGTATCAACTTTAGGAGACCCCAGACATTCAACACACGCCTGGGCTGCATGCACATCCAAAACCTACAAGACAGTAAAACAGTCTGGAAGTGAATTTAGCGTATTGCTGAAACATTTTTTTTAAAGAGCATCACAGTCCTCAAGTATGTAAGATTGATATTGCTTTGTTATTGACTTATTGAAATGTAGAAATGTGTTTACCATCTCTTGACAGTTTCCAATGTGCTGGTTTTTTCTCAAAGGAGTCAAAACATCAGGCTGAAGAGCAAACATCCGTGAGAGGTTCTGAAGACGCCTTTGGAAGAAATGGTGGGCAATGTGGACAAGAGGAAGAGAAAGCTCATCTTCGTCTCTTTTTCGTCTCTTTACTTCATCAACGCAGCTGGCCAGGGCCTGACACATGAGCTGACACAGAAATGTAATTTTTAAATAAATGTTTTGATAATTAGATATGGACAAAAGATTTAAGCATCATAATAAAAAACACTGAGTACTAGCTAGTATGTAGAAACAAGTAGTTTATTCATGTGTATTGCATTTTTGTTGGTCATTTAATTTGTTTTTGTTACATTATTGTAAAATAGACTTTAAACTATCTATTTAAAACTAAGACAGGAGAGTGTTACATATGTTTGTTGTATTGACTGCACTGAATGTTATTTTTTTTTAAGATCACACAGAATCATATGCAGAAATACAGTTTGAGAAAGAGGTACAAAAGTAGCACTTAGTTATCCCTTACCTGTAATTCTTCATCTGATGCCACTTTGAAAGTCATTGCAACAAAATCCTGTAGGTACCTTTCAAAGAATTCTTTCCTCATGTTCTCATTGACATTTTCATTCAAGTACCTGCCAAGAGGAGTGTTTAAGAAAACCTCTAGGAATCTACCTGGAGAATGATCTGCAAGTTAAAGGTGAGAAATATAGCATGTATTAGGATTCAGTCTGAATACAAGTTTTGTTTTTCCCGTTAGGAAGATATCACATTAAATTTACGACACAATTTCAGGACTGGAAGCATTTGATTGTGTTACTTATTTACTATGATAGTTACTTTTATGTCTGGATGTTTGCATCATGAGCCCTTCCAGGAACTCTTTGATCCACCAGCTGAACGGCAAACGGCAGCACATGGTGTTTCCGCCTGTGATATGGCTTTGTACCATTATCACACTGGAGCTTTATGAAAGGCAATATGGGAAAATGAAATTGCTTGCATCATCTTTGTATCAAAAACAATTCAGAGCCAGCAATGGCTATTTTCTTATTTTTAAAAAAACTTTGGAAACGTAAAAAAAATAAAAAAAATACACAAGTAGTATAGTTTCAAGACCCTCCTAAGCAATTACACCCAAGATGTGAACAAATGTGAAACAAAAGCACTTATGCTACATATGTGTTAAAATCACACATGGCCTTTTCAGACTGCCAATTCGAGGTGCGATATTTACACCCCTGTGATATTTTGCCTTCACTATGAATGAACGGAGGGACACAAATATTACGTCATTGCAGAATCAATACGAATGTTCAAAGTCAAAATGACGGCTGAGCTTTGTAACATTGCTGTTGTGTTTGTGCACTGTGCAAACAGCTAAAATCAAAAGATACTCACTTGCTTTCCACTCTCACATAAGGTACAAGGAGCATATTTGGGTTCCCAAAAATCTCGAGCCATAGGCCTTTAAGTTCATCACATCCTTTCAGCAAAAGCTGCAAATTGCAATCTCGGTCAATGACTGAGACCAAGTTTGCTAGCAGTGGTGCGACAACTGCTTGTATTTTCCTCCACAGCGTATGCCTGTGAGAAATAGTCACAAAACTTCACAAATAACTCACTTTGATAAATGATGAATGATTTTAAAAGTGTAAGTCAACAAATTAAAGAAAACGGTCATTGAGACTGCTAAGTGACACCTACAAGAATGTTCCTCCCTCTTGAAGAGCGCTGACATTAGAAGCCTCCCTCAGCACCCAGCTTTTAGGATTAGGGATGTTGGCCTCATAGTCTTCCAACAGTGAGTGGATACACTTCCTTACAATGTTTGTGAACACACCTTGATAAAAAGAATCACCAAAAAACATATCTCTGGTTAGGTGCTATCTCAATGAACACAGATTAGATGTGAAGAGTACGAAGCTGTTGAAGCCCCAAAAAGTACAAAAATAAGTTTTACTTTTTGGGACTTCAGGGACTCTGTAGCATATGGATGGCCTGATAAAAAAAATATGCTGCACATTCTAACCCTAACCTTGTGTCTGACTTTCATCCAGAAGTGTGAGCAAGCTCTCCACTCGCTTTGTGCTGAGCTTCGCATTGTCCGTTGAATCTCTTAGCATGCTCACTGCACTCTGGACACAGCTCCTCAGCAGATTTGGGATATCAAGCAAACCTTCCAAAACCTGCAAAAAAATAAATAAAAAATTGCAATGCATCATACAAAGCAGGAAAGCATCTAAAAAAGTAAAAATGTCCTTGAAGTGAATACTTCAACAATGTTCAACAATACTAACTAACCCGATAGTCATGGTTAGTTATACAATGAATGAATTAATAAGTGTTGTGTTAATGAGATACGGTTCTGAATCTAGACCACGCTTTCCATTGGAAAGCTTGTTTCCATATGTTTAAATAAGTAGCTTAATTCTTATTTTACAGCTTGAGTATTGTCTTTTTAATCCAGTGAAATCCCTGAATTCATCACCAAATTACTACTACTAATTACACTAAGATTTCTTATTGTTATAGGATTTGCTTAAGATTACCCTCAGCTGCCCAAGTCCTGACAAAAATTAAAACAAGTACACTTTCAAATCTCTGAACTACTTGGTGGTAAATTGCACTTACAGTGGAGTCATTGTTTTGTGGAACACCATTATGGTCTTCTGCATCCATGGCTTAAAGGGGAAAAAATAAGTTATATATAATGTAGATACTCATATGTATGATATTGTTTTAGAAAAAAGTTTTCTGGTGGATTACCCTCAGGTGGATCTTCAAAAATCTCACTCATGCAAAGCTTTTTCAAGCAGTTTACATCAGTCACAAACTCTTTTGATCTTCTCAGATCATCAATGTGCACAGACCTCCAAGGACCTGAAAGAAAGTCAGATCTATCAATACATAGTATCAATTACTTTAGTCAAGTTTTTTTCCACCCTTTCATTTTCTTACATTTGTGGGACTCTTAATATCAATTTACCCTTTATTTTGTGAGTGAATAGTGATGTATTCTTAATTCTGGGTTATTATTGCTGTTTTTTTCTATTAAAGCAAACAGTTAGTGAATCTTTGAAATAAAATTAACCAGTTACTGTAGCTAGAATATAAGAGCAGGACTAACCTCCTTGAAACCCAACAAATGAAGTACCACCCTCGATTCGAGGGAGTTTGGTGACAAAGTAAACAAGTGGCTTGGTGTTGTCTGCAGTGGCCCACTTGTTTATTTCATTGACGCATGCATACCTAAGGATTGAAATGAAAGTGAAAAAAAAATGTTTCAAATGTGAGTTTTGGAAATGAAGTCTGTACAGAGGAGCAATTTAATGATAAATCTTCAAACTTACTTGGCTGAGGAAAAAACATTCCTCTTGTGGGAGTCTTCCTCATAGTCTGTTTGGATAATGAGTACTCTGTCTGCAGGTGTTGAGCCAAGGCATTCCCTTATACCGGAGAACAGGCACAATATACATATCAATGGGCAGTGATCACTTGACAGTTTTATGGAAGTGAATATATCAAGTCAGTGTTGTAAAAAATATCAGTGTCAAAAAAGTGTCCTGAGAAGATCTCCAAAATGAGGCACAAGGGCACAATTGTTAAATTAGACTAAAATGAGCACCTTTAAAGAATAGATATGCTCTATATACGGTCTTTACATACCTGATTTTCTTGAGAAAAGAGTACTCTGTGTCAAACTGCTGCAGTGATAGCAGACGGATATTGTCAAGCATTATAGTACTTTGCAGTTTTTGTGTGTCTGCTGCAGTCAAAAGCCTGGAAAATGTTGTGACCTTAAATAAACAAAATGACTAAGTGTTAGAAGATGGTTTGCTATTTATTTCTCTATTAATATAACAGTCAGAAAAAACAAATTTTTATGTTTTACATCTAATGTATGTCAAAATTGACAATAAAGACTTTACCACAACTTAGTGGTCTTAGATACTGTTTCATCCAGAACATTTTTTTTCTCATGCACTAACACCCTTGGAATTTGGAGGGCATTTTATTAAAATGTACTAAAAACGAAGATGTACTGCAAAGCTTAAAATAACCTAAATCTTCCTCCTCCACATCAAATGATAAATGTAAAAAATGTACAAATTGGAAAATCAAAAAATACATTTCCCTTAACAATGTTATGCTCTACTCCTGGCATAAGAAGTTGAACTTAAGAAAGAAAAACAAACTGGGGGCCTGATACCAGAACCTTCAAGTGATGGCTGATTACATTTTCCCTGAGCTTGAAACTTGATATTATGGGCAAGAAATTACCTCGGTGAAGAAAAAGCGGGACTGTGCCAGTTCCTTTCTGTGGTAGACGATGTAGTCTCCAAATGAACTGTGCATCTCCTCTTTAACATATTCTTTCATCAAATGTTCTCTTTCCTCATCAGGCAGCCTGGATTTGTCCAAACGGATAACTGAGTCTGGAGTGGCACAGTTGAGCAAAATTTCTTTGGCTTTGTCCAGAATGATCTGAGCATCTGTTTCGTCACTGTGAGTCTCTGTTACTTGAAGGACCACAGAGGAGCATGTGTCTGAGTGGTAACCAATGAAGACGTCACTTGGAACATACTGCTTCATTGTATGGTGTTGACTAGTTAAGGACACAAAATCATCAACCCATTTCTGTAGTTTTTGGACAATGTCCTTCTGCTCATCTCTGAGGACAGTGTTGATGTCAAGGTAGTGTTTCTCCAGCCTGTTGATCAGTGGGATGGGGAACTGCTCATATACCACCTCTTTCTCTTCAATGACAATGAGCCTGAAGTTTTTGTGAACTCTACATTTCACACGATGTGTTCCTAATCCAAGATCAACATACTTTTGACCTCCAAAGGTCACATAGTATTGGTTGAGTGCATCATACAGACTTTCGTACAGATTCTGAAGGTTGAGAAGCACAACTGTCTGTCCAGTCTCCATGCAAACTTTGACACGATTGATGTTCCTACAAATCTGTGTGTACTCCTGATCTTTTGGGAAACTGGACCCAAAGATAATCTCTGGATGGATTTGGTTTGTGAAGAATATCTGTTCGAGAATCTGAAGAGCAGCATAGTTTTTTGTGAGGATCAAGAGGTAACGACTTTCATCAACTTGGCCAGCTGGAGATATGATTTGATTGACCAAATTTTTGGTGGAGATGCAGGTATTGGCAAAGTCTTCTCTGAGTTCTGTGCTAAATATGCCCATCACATCAACATCATCTTTTCCACTGAAGTTTCTCAGGACGGCTCCAGTGATTTCATCTCTGGTAGGTTTCTCATTACTGTGTTTAGTAATAGAAAATATCATCTTAATGAGACTGTAGAAGTCCCGCAGACCAAAAAAGCCCTTCCCTTGTTGGCATATGGTCCCATATGCTTTTGCGAATGGCTCAAAGAGGGGTTTGATGGTGTCCAGGATCTTCTTTTCAGATGCGCATATCCCTTCAGCACTCTTGATTAGCTCTTTTTGGTTTGGATCCCCACGGGACACAAATATTCCACGATTCATCTTCGCAGGGTCCAATGCCCAGTTCGAAATTCCGATGAACCCAACCCTTTTATGAGGTTGTGGCTCATCATCCACACAACCCTCTTCCAGTAATGGGTGGAGTGTTTTTAGAGGCATTTTACTGGAATCTTCGGCCAATCCAATCTCATCAAGTACAACTACTGAGATGTATTCATCCAACTTTTTGTTTTCCTGAAAGCGGGCACATTGCTTGAATGTGTTGATGATTCCTTCAGGAGTAGAATGAGGGCTGCACTGGAAAGACACCAGATGTATCTGCTTTAGCCTCTTGTAAAGTTCAGAGTGTGAGGAAGGGCCCTGCATTGCATCGGCAACAAGGGTTTTGGACAGTGATTTTGAGCTCCCAGGTTTCCCAACAATAAACAAGGGAATTCTTAGCTCAACACAGATTACCATCATGAAGAAATTTTCTTTCAAAGCCTCATTTCTGGCTATTGTCTTGCCCATGGGTACACCATTGAGTAGGAGGTCATGCATGAGTTGGATTTCCTTGAGTACTCTCTCTTTGCTATAGCCACGGGGGAGCCCCTGGCTGATAGTTTGCAGATATGGCAATTTTTCCTCCAAGCAGGCCTGATAGCACACTCCAGTGGCCATCAAGAGTGACCAGATAACTCTGTCACTAGCAGGTGAAAACCTGATTTTGTTTTGCTCCCTCTCACTTTGCTTTTGACGAAATGAGTTCAGTTCTTCTGCAAGCATTGGGTGATTTTTATGGAACCACACAAACACCTGCATGCACCGTTCCACATCTCTCAAACTGACAAAGCTGCATTCATCTTTCCTCTCTCTCATGAACTTTTGTGATGCTGACAAAACCTTAGTTATTGTCTGAATATAACTCTTTTCAACCAAGTTGGCCTTTGTCTGTCTTTGCACTATTTGTTCGATGTACATTTGCTCTGTTGAGTCGTTAAGCTGTCCAAAGTCCCAAACAAGAGGAATCATACTGGGGGGTAACGCATGAACACGATACACGAGCTGGCGGAGAGGGATTGAGCCAAGTCTGTCCTCAGTTTCCTCAGCCCTCACCCTGTAGCCCAAGCCAGAAGCCTCCAGCCTTTCAATCATCTTGTCTGTATGCTTCCTGTAGGGGTTGCATGCAGCAACAATATGTAGTCCTGTTTCAGAGCAAAGCTGTTGTCCTTGCACAGTGTTATCGCAAAGGATCTCTTTGATGCTGCTGATAGCTTCTGTGGTGTTTGCCTCATCAAAGAAAAGAACCGAGTCCAAATCATGATTCTCTTTGTTGATCCTTGCAAGAGTTTCTGCTTCCTTCACCTTCTCATATATCATTTCTGGGGTTGTCCCTCCATGAATCTTGACCAGTTTCATGTTCTCTGCTTGTGCTGCACACTTTCTCAACTCACACATGAACTTCACTAGCCTCGTCTTGCCACATCCAGTCTCACCCATTATGATGACTGGAATGCCACACCTAAATCTCATATGAATTGCCATCATTTTCAGAATGTTATCGGTTGTAAGTTCATATGTTTCATCAGGATCTGTTGGCCTTTCGATGCCAAGCACACTGCACAGCTGCTCAATCTTGTCAGCTCGAGGAAGCTGATCAAAGTCCCTATTAAAAGGGACTCCCTGATGTCTTAAGCCAGCGTACAACTCTTTAGACATGATGTTTCTTTTGATCACTTTTCCTGTCAATGGGTTTAAGGCATCTACCCCCTTCTGGTCATTGCGCTCCACGTGAAATCCAATGAAAGTCATGGACATGTGGTCATCATTAAAAAAGATGTATGGATGCGGCTCGGACTCCCACCTTTTTCGGATGAGGAATGGAGCTAAATCTTCTTCATTAAGGCCACTGATGTCAGTTTGTTGACACCCAGGGCTCTGGTCAGTGATGCATAGTGATGGGGTTGCAAAGTCTTTGGACATCAATATCATGCACTCAACTACAAAGTTTTTGAACCCTTGAAGAGTGTCTCCAACAAACTCGAGTTTGCAGAAATCTGAATTCTCACAGTCTTTCAACTGAAGATTTAAGAACCAGACAAAGTTACGTAGCTCTGCCCAAGATGGATCTATAATGCCACAGTAGATTAAGAGTATCTGAAGACACTCTGCCTGAGTCCCTTCAATGCCATGGTAAGTGAAATTGTCGAGATTGTTTTTGTTGTGAAAACGTGTGAGGTATTGATATGGTCTTTGATAAACTTCACTCCTGAAAAATTCATCATCCATGAGGGGGTCTTCACTCATCTTGTCAGTGTTTTTCTCTTCTTTCATTTCCAAAGCCATTACCTCCTTTGGTGAACGACAAATCACCTTAGGGAAAATGTCCCAGAATGCAAAGTTTTCTTTTCGTCCCTAAAAATATACAAATGTATACATAAATTCAACGTAAGAACATTTTACCCACCAAAATTGCATCAGTTGTTGTTAAAGTAAATAGAACTGTGGGGTATGAGCTCGTAAAATGAACAATGCAGTAAACAGTTTATTTTAACTTACAGATTTGGATGCATATCTTGGCTGAAGATTTGTGGCTTCCAGTAACTCAACAATGTACAAGTGTTTGTGACTGCAGCGCCACATCTGTCCATCTGAATCCATCAGGTACCGCAAAAAGAAAAGCTTGAATAGAAATTCATTCAAGCCTTTTTTCACCTGAGAATTATGGTTGTAATATTAGAAAACATATTAGACAAATTTCATTCATCTTCAGTAACAACCATATTGTGAAAAAAATCTAAATAATCTTGATTATCATGGTTATGAGAACATAACTTACCGAGGATGTAATATCAAAGTGAAACATCCTGAGATCTTCTCCTTTTGGTGTGTCATACAAAGACTGGAGGACCTTGTGTTCATTAACCTCACGCTCAGTTACTCGGATGCACTTCTTAAATGCAGTTCCTTTTTCAACACTTCCCTCCAGCTTTTCATACAGTCTTTGGACATACAATGACTTGCCTAAAACAGAGGAATAACCATATATAGTTTGTCTGAAATATCATTAATGGAGTGAACTATGTTCTAGATGCATCATAATCAGTGTTTCCCCGAGGTTAGAGTTGAAGTGGAACAATGTTTAAGTTACGTGCAAGTCTAAAAAAAAAATCTGTTCTTTAAAAGAATTATTAACATTTATTGGACAGAATAGTCAACCAACAACCACCCAATACAATAAAATTAATTACACAACAAAATCAGTAAAATCCCAAAGAGCTGTGCCTCCAACCCATATTACCAGGGCTTTCCACAAGATCTGAAGTAGCCTGCTTGGGGGGTCTGGGGGCGTGCACCCCTGGAGAAATTTTTTGGCTGTAAAAGCACAAATTATGTGGCACATTTTAATGCCACTATTCCCTCAAACTAATCTTAAACGTTTCATAAGGTTCCCTCAAACTAATCTTAAACGTTTCATAAGGTTCCCTCAAACTAATCTTAAATGTTTCATAAGGTAATACGTTTGCCTACTCGATTGTAAACATGTAGTGAATTATTTAATTTATGCTTTATTGATCCTGCAAGGGGAAATTTGTTTTTACACTATGTCTAGTTTACATGCTACACAAACATGGGCTGAAATACACACACATGCACAAACAGGATCCTATGGACATGCACTAATGGAGAGGTCTCAGAGTGAGGGGGCTGCCCACAGTGTGCTGGTGGTGGGGGGGTTGGGTACCTTGCTCAAGGGCACCTTGGCAGTGCTCAGGAAGTGGATTGGCCTTTCCAGCTACCAGGCCAATTTCTGGACTTGGTCTATGCTGGGACTTGATCCGGCTACCCTCCGATTCCCAACCCAAGTCCCTACAGACTGAGCTACTGCCGCCCCATTGTAAAGGAGAATTAGGTTTCTTTTCTTTTTAACCAGTGTTTGACCCCCTCAGCATGCAGGGGTTTTACTTAGCAGAGTATGAGAGAAAATAAAGGCTACTACACTTCCTCAGACCCACTCTGTAATCCTCTGACTTAACAGCATTGATGCTGCACTGTTGAATACAGATATCAGTGCTTTTGGGAAAGTTTGTTGTCGGCGCGACAACGTGAAATGAATAGTTGCACACTCGCAGGAGCCGTGTTTGAGCATATGTGGGCGGGACTGAAACAGACAGATAGTCACGTCTGTCTATTATTATGCTCCCCTTTACTCAGAGGTGTGTTAATCGACTTGATATCAAGCGTTCGTAGCGCAAAATACTATGAAGTAGCCTATCTTCTCCTCTCCTTTTTTTCCCCCGTTCCATTCTCTCTCTCAAAAAAAAAAGTCAGCAGCGGCGGTCATATTTCAGTAGTGGCGCACCGCCGCTGCTAGATGAATATAGGGGAAACACTGATAATTAAGCAAGAATAAGATTTATTTGATCCTTCACCTTTTTTCTAAATAATTGATGGAAAAAAGTATTTCACTCAAAAGATGCACCTCATTCTCAAGTTGGATTTAACAACAGTTTTTTTTTTTTTTTTTTATACTGACCATACTTTATGTATAAAATAATATATCAAATTTAATATTTAGGAATAGCAGACAGAGTTTCATGCACAGAATTGAACTGCGGCTCTTTATGATATTGAAAAGAAAAAACATATCTAAAAGGCGAGATTCTTTTAGTATGAGAATTGATGTAAGATGCAAAATAAGCTGGTGCATTTAGTGGCTAGGCATGCAGACTTATAAAAGGATATTCTTAATGCACAGATTAAAATGTGTAATTACAGGAACCTTGTGTAATTTAAGGAAGCCTTAGAAATGCATATGGCTTGTGCATAAAAAATACATAATACTATCATTTTAAGATAGTTTCTTGTCAATATCTCTTCCTAATTCTCATTATTAGAGGTGTAATTATTGCGGGAAAAGCTGTGTGGATGTTAGACTCACCTACTCCTGCACGTTGGGATGCAACAATGCCAACAGAATGGTCACCTTTGAAAAAAGCATTCTTGTGATCCGAGGGCACAGTGTAATGCCTAGACAGGTACTTTTGGATCCTTTCCAGTGGCTCTTGGGGCACAAAGTCTCTTTTAAACTGACTGAATGCAGTAGGAATGTAAGTGTGCTCCCTGTCAGAGCTGCAAATAATCACCAGCCTGGACTCAAGTCTAAAAAGGGACTGTAGATTCTGAAGACACTTCTCCATTGCACAGCTTACATCATAGGTGAGTTGATCTGCCCAAAGCATTGTATAAATCTTCTGGCCAATGTCACCTGGTGTGAGACATCTCCTCAGGAAAAGCTCTACTTGTTCATGAGATGTTTCCGGAGTGCACAAGAGAACCTCATCATAACTTGGCAGTGGTTCATACTCACTAGTCATGTACAAGCAGATACATGAAGTCAGGACATCATCATGAGGGCAGATGATGAGATTTGGCTGGTTTGAGATAAGGCCTTTTGGGAGGCTTCTTCTGAGTGAGCTGTCTTGCATCTCTGAAAGCAATGGTTGTTCCCATTCATTTTCATTTTGAATTTCTGAGGCGGTCATCATTTTTAACAGACAGCCTAGACTCCTTATGTCCAAAAGGTCATGGAACAATATTCCCTTATTCTCCATGTAGTCATTCCACAAGTCTTCCAGTTCTTTCAAACCAGCAGCCTGGACTGCAGCACCTGCTGAATCATCTGCTGTTAAATGACTCGCATTGGCTGAGGACATGTGATTGTCATCAGGGGGACGAAAGTGACTTTTAAAGGGAATATCGTCATTCATCCTTTTGCCAGGCTCAAATTGGTCTTGAAACTTTTTCCATGTTCCCCAGACATCTGAAGTTGTGCAGTTTGGTTTGATGAAAGACAGCATCATCAAAGCGTTATCCTCTATTTCTACATCAACGTTGCTCTGAGTCACAACGCTGCACAGGTAGAATATCTGTTCTGCTGTGAAAAAGTTTAAGTAGTAGTGGTCAGATCTTTGTGTGTCCATGAAGTTTCTCCAGTCATCAAGAAATAACTCCATCTTCTGGGACACTTCTGCAAGTTGTTCAACTAGATTTCCAAATACTTGGATGTGATATAGGGTCTTGCAAAAGTTGAGTTCCAATGTGATACATGGGTCATTCTGACTTTTGCAATACATTTTAGCTTCCCAACACTTGAAGAGTGGGTTCCCTGCAGCATAAAGGTCTACAAAAGCTCTGGCAAGTCTTTGGACATTGTCAAACACCTGAATAGGAAAAAATAAAAGTGAGATCACATTGAATGTATAAAAAGAAAAATGCAAACTTTCTTTTATAAATTCCATTAATTTAGAGAAAAGCAGACCGAACATTTCTAAAAAAAAAAATAACTCAGCATAAAAAACAAGGCATACATCACCTCAGCAAAGAATTCCACTTCACTTTGATTTTGTTCCCCTCTTCCGGACATAAGCATAAGCTTATTTTGTAACTCTTTCAGGTCCTCATAGGTGCATGTCATATTTATCTCAAGTCCATCCTGAATTTGCAGCATGAGGGAACTCTCTAAAGTGAGCTATAAAGAGAAAAATCTATTTGTTTAGAGAGGACAAAGGAAAGACTGTTTCATGTAGCTAATTTGCATTAGTAGTGTTTCAAATTCAACACAAAAAGGTTTTAATCTGAGCTATAAGTATTCATCACATATGAATATCCTTTTAAGTTTTTAAGGGTCCTGTGTAACGCTTAAATAAAATAAGAAAATAAATCATAGTGACAAGTAACTTTCTCTAGAATACAAGATTTTGTACTGACAAAGTTTTCAAAATGAAAATGTTAAGGAGTCAAAATTAATTCAATTAATCATTTCAAGTAATCCATTCAGCATACCCTTTTCTCATTCTGGGCTTTGATGATGTACACTCCTTTCTCATTGATGGATGTAGCCAAGGACAGAGATGAAAATTCAACAGATCCATGGCTTTCCCTTACAGTCTTCAACCATTCCAGATAGCGTGATGTATCCCGCTGAAAATAAAAATTACACATAAAAAAATATGAATTTTGATTTTGCATTTTTTGTTTTGTTTTGTTTATCAGAAATGATCAGTTATATATATAAAGCATTCATAGACATAACTTTATGAACTTGGATAACATGGGAGTTAGAGCTTTGACTAAACCTGGGACTAAACCTAGATCAAAATTAAAAAGACCACCAAAATGTTTAAACTAATTAAGAATGGCATTCATTTAAGAAAGCCCACAATGTGATCTTACTGACCATACTTATGGTAACATCACATGAATTTGTAAACATGTATGTATATTATAATGTATATTTCACATAGATTGTATACTGAGTTTAAAAACTCCCTCTTGCTTCAACCTTGACCTTATAAAAAGTTCCACAGTTAAGCATGTAGTGAGTAAAACATGGATGTAGCTGGAAACTATTAATTTTCACTTGTTTCAGACAATATGATCACTTGTACATTTTTTTTTATTTTATAGCTAGACAGTTATAGGTAACCCAAAGGCTGAATCTCACCAATTTTCTTGGTATCTCTTTATCATTTTCAAATGCCTTCCACAGTTTTGACAGGGACTCCTTGAAGGCAGCAAAGTCAGAATCCTCCTTCAGTCCATACAACATGGACGAGTAACCAAGAACAGCATCATGAAAACAGGCCACTCGATCCACCTCCATATCATTTTCTCCAGCATAGATGGATGCAAGGTCAACAAAAACTTTCAGTTCATTGATATCTGCAAAAAAAAACTATTTTAGAATTGCTTTAACTGATTTTTTTTTTTATATATATAGGTCTTTAGAAAAAGATGTTTCTAATGTACCTTCAAGTTCTTTTTTTGCCCACTGGACAAACTTTTGGCTTAGATGAAGTTCCTGAAGACATTCCTTGCGATCACTTGTAATGTCATTCAACATCTTTTTTGCTTCTATGAAGTTGTCATCGATGCAGTTCAGACTGTTTTTCTTGAAGTCTGCTTGATTCTAAAAATAAACCATATGAAATCATAGGCTGTGTGATTCAAGATTCAAGGTCAGAAGGCTTTTTGACTGCTGGAAGTTAATTTTACTCATAAACTCATCTCAATTATTCATTACTGAGTGAATATTTAAAAAAATAAATAATTCAAATGCCATTTCACTTCCTGATCTACAGTATTTCTCTGTTTTGCATTTGATTGAGTAAATCGTGTGCAAGCACAAGTTCCAGTAAGTCTTTAACAATAATGTGTATGGTATGTTTTAAGAACTTGTAACAAATTGAAAGCAATGTACAATGTCAGTTAACATCAGATTATTCATTCTTATCAAATAAATACAATTACATATTCTCCTCCAACTGAGGTATTCCTGACAGATTCTCACTTTCAATTAAGGCATTTCAATAGGTTGACTGCTAATGTCTTAGATCAAGAGACATTTATTTCTATAAAAAATGAATTTCTAATGACCTGCACTCCCTAAGCACACACATACATATATATGTTTGAGAAACTTACCATTTGCAGCAGTTTCTCAAGCAATTTGAAGTCTCCTTCTGGACACACTGCATCCCTGATACCAATGATGATCTGGGCAGACTCCATTGCAAGATGAAGATCACTGTACTGTTCAATCTGGTGAGCCCTTGTTTTGATCCACTTTCTGTCATCAGATTGATCTATTCTGCACATGATGTTAAAATCTTTCTGCAAATCTTCATAATTGCTTTTATAGACCTCCAAAATGCTGTCTATTTGCTCCAGTAACAGTTCCCCGCTCTTCAGACCATCATAAAGAGCTTTGTACTCGCTGAAGCTGCTCTTGAATATTTTGCTGTAGACCATGTCGAGAGTGTAAATTTCTTCATTTTCATTCAGATGTTCAGGGTCTTCTGTCAGATCTTCCACTTGATTTGTCCAGCACAATTTGAAGATTGTACTGTCTTTAATGACATCCAATTCTGAAGCCATTTGACGGGTGCTATCACACAGGTTGAAATAAGTAACCTCAATTTTAGATGGGTTCTGTCCATCAAAAGTGTGAACGTCCATTAACTCATTGAGATTCATCATCTCAATGTTCTGTCGAAGTTTTTCGTCCAAGCCCTTGAAGTCAACTGTGCATTAAAAAGATTTTATTCAAAATTGATGTACAGTAGATACCATGTTATCCACTACCCTAACCCATTTCCTTCCTCTTGCAATCTGCTCATCCGATATTTGCCTAAATCATAGCATAACATCTTTTTCCTAAGAATAGGTTTTCAAAAATAAAACTGGAACTTAAAGCAATATTTTTCCCTCAGTGTGCGGCCTACCTTTGACACGTTGTGGAAGCTCCTGGCAGATATGGAGAAGACTCTTGACCAGCTCCTTTTCACTTTGGATAGCTTCTGCTTCATCGGTTCTTCGTTTCAGTAATTGTTTCATGTTTCTTTCATCTTTGCAGCGATCATCATCACAGAGTCCATCTAGAGGAACACAACACGGTGGCAGGATTTCAACTGATGACTTTATCAAAAAATAAAATCCACTGGAATGGTACAATGTCCTGATAAAGATTTGTATGGATGTGAACAATATTACAAAAATTAATATTAAATAACATTTTGGCATGCTTTTTTTTTTTTAAGAAAAGGTAGAGCAAGAAAAACTTTTAGGTGAAATATGAAACAATCTTTACCATATTTATCCCCCAAAAACTTATGGACACCTGAAACTTGAAAAGCAGCCACAACTACACACTGCTATTTGGAGATCGAGAAAGAGATAGTTGAAGAGAAATATGTTTATATTTACCAATCTTTAGCAAGTCAACAAACTCTTGTTTTTTCAGGGAGATTTGGTGTAAAGTTTTCATTTGGATTTCTCCACTGAGGAACTTTTCTGTCACAGATTTAAAAGCTGAACTCGCCAAAGTCATCTTGATTTGTGCTTCATCTGACAGCCTGTCAATCAGTCGTTTATCTCTTCCTGAAAAATAATGGGCAAACACGAACAATGAGTTATTTACAAAAGAAAAGAAGAAAAAGAAGATCAAACCAAGTTAGAGGAGATGATTCCTTAATTAGATGAGACAAATACAGCCAAGCCAGCCTTCACTTTTGTTCTTCACTGATATTTTCTTGCACACTCCAACATACAGTACAGTACAAAGACACAAACACACACACTTAATTCAAGTAACATTATATTTCACAAGTATTTACCTGTCATTCCAAAGACAGATTTTGGCATTGGCCAATTGAGGAGGTACTCAAATATCAAGTCCTCCCCTTCGATGACATGATCATTTGCATCTTTGGGCCATGTCTTGAGCACAACAACAGACATCAGCTTCCCAAACTTTGAGATATCATGTTTCTTCAATAGATCGGAAAGAGCTGTTCTGGATTTGTCCTAAACATAAAGAATCATACAAAATAAGGTCATGTCGTATATTTAAGTGATCCATTGACTAGCACTACTACCAGAATACACCAGTCAATTGCACATCTAGTATTTGTTAGAGAGGTGCAAAAAAGAGCTCACAATCTTGGATAAGAGTAACAAAGTCTTTTTTGGCCAGTACATGTCATGTTTACTTTCTTTCTCTACAAGGTCAAGTGTCTTTGGGAACGCTTACTAGCATCTTAATTTAAACTGTAAGAATACTTACCAATTGTTGGAATTTTAAAACAGAATGTGTACAATAACATCACAATTCTTAATTATTGAAGTAAATATTAAATATTATCAAAATCATACCTGACAAATAACTGCTATAGCCTCCAACGCACATTTCTCCATTGTGCTGCATAGCGAGGAGCGTGCCTGGCTCAGTTCTTCCATCTTGTTAGAGTATATTCCAATTTGATCAATTGGTTTTTCCTACCACGCAAGCACAGTTGTTCAGTTGTCTCACTTTATTGCACATGTCAAGGATGTAAACACAATCACAAATACCGTCTTACTTTTCTTAGCTTTGCCTCAAAATCATCCGTTAAGGCCGTCCTCCATGACTGCGTGTTTTCTTCATGGCTAAAGGATAGTGAGAGTAACTTCTCCCATACCTAGAATTAAATACATATTTAATCAATCAACTATGAAGCAATTGATTGTGAATGGGTATCGCACTAGATACATGTTTTTATGTTAATCCCCAACAGAGAACATATTATATATATTATAACCATTCATTTCAGCTTACCTCAACTACACTGGGTACAGCAAACTGCACAGGAGTCCATCCACTTAGTAGTCTGTTTCCGAAGGTACTTCCATGCCATTTCTTTATTGTTTCTAAAGTGTCCCAGAATAACTCTTCATGACGTGTCTCTGTTGACTGGAAGTATGGTTGTTGGTTACTATGGTACCTCAACATGTAGGATTTGTTAAAAATAATAAATATAATAAATATAATTTTCTCCATTAAGGATAGAAGAAAAAGAAAAAAAAAGAATAAAGCTATGTTACTGTTTCCTATTTTTTGCATTTTAAGCCCTTGCTGTGGTTTTTTATTGAGATACAACAGTAATATATTTCAAATAAGTATCGTCGTATACCTTGGAAATGAGACAGAATAGATCCAGGAAGCCAAGAGGAACATCATAGCGTTGTGGATCAGTTGTGTGACGGCAGATAAAATCAAGAAGCTTTCCTGCAGTATGCAGGCAACACTCTCTATATTTGTCATCAAAACTATAGAAAAAACATGTTATTGATTGTTTTGCAAGCATTAGGGTTGATATCAATAAAGAAACTACAACTCATAGACATTACTGCACTGATACTGTTAAACTGTGGCAGGTAAAGGGCTTTTTTTGTCTTTACCTTTGATTGTGACAGCTAAGTTTGTTGATGAGATGAGAAACCAAGCCTTTCAATGTCTGTAATCAGAAGCACCAAACACATGTAGCTTCAAAACATGAGTAGAAGTGTACGAACAGTTATGATACAGTAGTAGTAGACTCTTGAGTACAAAAAAATACTTTCAAGCAGGCTAATATATTAATACATTCACTGTCTTTCTGCCATATACTGTAGTGCTTACATAAGTACTGTCGTTGTGATAGTAGTGGGGCCAGTTTTCTAACAATAAGCTTAAACTCTTTGTAAAGCTCTATCTATAAAGCAGAGCTGAGCTACACACACACACACACACACACACACACACACACACACACACACACACACACACACACACACACACACACACACACACACACACACACACACACACACACAAAGTATATAATATATCTCATTACAGCATTATAGCCACTAAAGAATACATACCATGTAGTTGTTGTGCGGTGTTCCAGGTTTTAGACTGAACTGTAGGTACTGCAGTAAGTCTAGAAGCTCTACTTGCACACTTTCTGTGAAGCTTTTCAGATCATCCAAATGGAGCAGGGATATCCAAGAGTGCACAAGAAGACGATCAATGTTCGCCAGGTATGCATGCTCTTTCATGATCCGGATTACGCTACTTGATTGACATCATGAGTGGGTTTTAGGTACCAGGTAGTATCAGGGTATCCCAAGGGTGAGGGGTGAGAAATAGCAAATGATAAATTTAACTACATTTCAATGTGGAGTTATCAAAATTACAAGGGAAACAGAGTAAGTGTTGGTAGTAGTAGTGACTCCTTGGAGTCTTGTCTGGACGCTATTTTCCCTCAAATCTTTACATATTGCTTAAGTTTTGGGGTCATTAAATAGGATATAACACTAACCCGTACTTTAGCATTTCTGAGTTTTTAATTAAAATAGAAAATCTTTCTGTGATTTAGGCCACATTGATATGCAAAGATGCTTCTGAAAAGGTTTGTGAAAATCTTTTCCAGATTTTTGTTATACTTCTTTTAAAGCCTTTGTAAGAGAGAACACTTACATACCTTGCATTATTGTCCCTGTAGACATTTGTTCCTTTGCTCTCCCTTAAGCCTGTCCAGGAGTCAAACTTTGGATTGAGGACAGGTGGAACTGGCTCAAAAGGCCTGCTTTTTCCCCTCAACAGGTGAATCAGAGGGATGACCAAGAACCATTTCTCAACACGTTGTTTTCTAGCATTGTTGCACAGCATCTCAACAGCATCTGCAATTCTACACCAGCAGAAAAGTCTCGTTTGATCATTTTCTTAGCAAAGAAAAAATACACTACACAAAATACACTAAGCTTCATTTCTGGTCTGTTTTATGTTCTTGAGGAATATGGTTTGCAGATAAAATATGCATTTCGAGACCTTTTGAATCAAACATTGAGCAAAACATATGTTGTATGTTTTCTTGAATAGAGCATTCAATGTTAAAATAACCTGTCTACAATGTTTTAAAATTGTTTTAGGTTTCATCGATATTCATTTCATTACAATGTTACGAAAAATGTAATCAACAATACATCAACGCCACCACTATACTCTTTAATAAACAAGGATGATTATTAATTTTGCAAAATTATTCTTGACAGAGAGCTTTGTATTAAGAGATAGTAAATAATTACTGAGAAAGCACTTCAGTAAAATACATATCAGAAGTATTATTATTGCCAGCATGGCCTCATGAATTACCAAAGAGAGCTTCATAATATTGCTCTCAAAAGGAAGTACATTGGCTGAATTGGCATAAGTCAGTATTTGTTAAAAGTTCCCTTTTCTTCAGTAATACCCACATTGATATATAAATCCAAAATGAAGATCATAATGGTCTTTTTATAGTAGTTGAAAGAATATTGATTGAAATGGTTAAGCAGATAGGGTTAAGGTAAATTTTCAGTCAGTATAGAATCAGTTGACAAGGTGCTCTGGCTTAAAACTATTTCAAGCTGACTTAACTTTAAAATGAACTTCCTAAAAAGATCCCTAGTTTTTACTTTAGTCTCTTTTCAAACCTTTTAAGAATGTGTCTGTACTTGGTTATTTTCATTGTTTACCTGTTTTTATCGGATAAAGGGCCTGCAAACTTTTCCCAAAAGTCTTTGAAATTTTGTTGAGGATGCTTTGGCAGGCACAGAAGATCGCAGAGACTGGACATTTGACCTTTCATGTCGTCTTTTAGATAATTGACATAAATGAGCAACCTAACAACTCCAGCATAAAGAGGGTGTAAGGAGTATTCTTTTTTCTTTCCAGGTTTTGGATTAAGGTGTTCATCCAGAGCACATTTGAGAAGATTTTTCACCTAGAAAAAGTACAGGAAAAAAAGTTAACAACTAACATATATTACATATGATGATAATTCTTACTGAAAACCTTTTTTATCAATTCAATTCATATCAGTTTTTAGAAACTATGAACTTTACTTGTTCAGGACCGTATGGTAATCCCGATGATCTTTCCATACCATCATGAAGTACAGGATAACTGTATGTATCAAAGAACTGTCGGAGCAGTAAAAAGAAGTTGTCCACATTCTGTTCATTCCAAGTTGTTAGAAGTTCAAAGATGATGTTCAGCATCACTCTGCCAGCGAGGTCTCTCTCTTTCATTACCACGTCTTTGGTTGAAAACTCAAATGACCAAAGACTCGTCTTCAGCTCAGAATGGATCACATCGTCATACTGGTGCCAGTCCCCTTGACAATCCAACAGAATAAATCCAATTATCAGGAATGTTTTTATGTGATCCGCTAATGTTCATAAGCCATTTGGCTATTAGCTGATTTACATGCAATTCTTACAATACAGGATAAAATGGCAACACACTTCTATGTCAGTGATGTTGACAAGTGAAGCTCCCTTCTCCACCTTAACATTTTATTTATATGAATATATATTATAAGGTGGCTCATATCCCAGAAATAATCCTTGTTGCCAATCATATTTTTGAGCACCTCTTTCTTTTGTTTTCTTTTTTTTTTATCCAGTGGTTCAGCACAAATAATCAATTTCTTAACATTTCTTGACATATTTAAATTAAACAGAAATAGGTAACATTCAATCAAGTCAGTTAAAGATTTGTATGATACATTAGCAGACACAAATCACTGTACAGCTAATTGAATAAACAATTAGACTCAGTACCCAAACCGACAAGATAATAATCTTAACCTTGTTTTCTAGCACATGCAATCTATTGTTTGGAGTTAATATGCTGTCTTAGACGTAAGCAGTCATTATTTTATTTTTGTGACCTCAAGTTAACTTGCCAGTGTTACCTAGTGGTCAATCTTTAATATTCAGAAAGTCTTTAAAAAAGACACCAAATATAGACTATCTTTTGAGGCATTACGGTAATGGTATTTCTTGTTAATTATCTGTCAAAAGTTTTGTGTGTAAGATTTGAAAGCAGTAAGCTTATAATATATCACTATTTAGCCAGATTGTATATATGTTACTTTTTATTTTGTAAACATAAATAGAAGTTGCTGTTGAGCCTCAGTGTAGATAAAGTCCGTGTTCTTACCTTCACGTGTTAGAAACTCCTCTCTGACTGTAAGACACCTGTTCACATACTCGTTTCCATCTTTCTGGTAGATTGTCTCGTACATTTCCTTGTAGCCATGTTTGGCCTTGTAAATGGCATATTTATAGGGCATGCTCTTATTAATCATGTTTTTAGAGATCGTAGTCTGTCCTTCAACAAGATATCTGTTGCCCCCCAGATCCCTGTGAGACACATTAATAACAATTAGTGACAGAAAAGGCGTAGACATTTAAAAGTTCATTATGAAAAGTCACTATGTTGCAAGTGGGTTAAACAAAAAAACAAGTTAAAAAAAAATCTTGTGAATCTGATTTCATATTCCCTTAGTTAAGTGTAGAATTGAAAACAATAATCTGTTGTTGTAAGTTTGAAGATTTTTTTCATAAGGTGTCATACCTAGTACGGGTCATTTCCACGATTCTTCCCCACTGTCCTGACACATGTCTTGACATCAAGAAAATCTCATCCCCTGGATCCAAATCTTTGGAAGTGACAGCATGGAAGTACACATCTATGGATTCACTCTTTGGTAACCTAAGGACGGAAAGTAGGAAAATATGTTAAACAAAACATTTTCTTTGATAATTAGCAATTATATCAAAACATGCTTTTAAGATGATCGTATGGTGGATTTCAATATGATCAAATAGCGAGACAGCTATTTTGTTTAATCTGAGAGATGTTGTTGGGAACCTAACAGGAAAAAAGTATTTTAAAAAGATATTGTTACATTTGTGAAACCAAAAACTTACATTTGTGTTGCCTTAATTTGAGAAGTATGTGCTGTCCCTTGAGGTCCCAGCTTCTCATCAGCCTGACTGGGTGGACAGGAGCGCATTGGTGAAGTGTATTTATCCACATCTCCATCACCTGGCTGCTGTTCCTGTTTCTCTGCCGGGTGTGTGCTTATCTTTTTATTGGATTTAGTTTCAACAGCCTGTGAGAAAACAAAAGACTGAAAAGTCAATTTAGCTCTGAAAAGCAGGTCAGGAAATCACCATAACAAATGTATACTTCAGACACCTAGAGCATATAGTCCTAATGAAATTTGATTGATGCCAGATTGTCATAAAGAATCGTCAGTGTATTGTGGACATGGTTAGAAAATGGCTAAAGTGTTGCCAAAGGTCTTGGTTTTTATTTTAGATTGAAGAAAATAATTTACTTGCTTGCCATTTGTCGTGACAAGATGATGAAATATTTCTTTGAACATCATTATTTAATAAACACAAATTGACTGAATTACCTTAGTCCCTTCGGGTGCTTTCTTTGATACTGAGTGTGAAGCAGCAGATTTTCTGGATGCTTGGTCTTTTTTCTTGTCAGTTTGTTTAGCAAGTGTCCGTTGTTTTTTGTTGATCTTATTGTCATTATCATCTCGCCTCTTTGAGACAATTTGTGTTTCATGAAAGGTTTTCTTTTCTTTTTCTTGTTTAGTATTTGACTGCGTTGTTACAGAATCACATTCCTGAGGCCTTTGTTCAGTTGGTTCGGGAGCAGTCGAGCTGGTTTCTTTAGTTAATGTCGGTACTGATGCAGGGTTGGACAACGGCCCAGAATGAATGTCACCTGGTTTGTCAGCAGGTAATTGCACTTCATCAGGATTGTCATTTGTACTTGTGTCTGGGGCCTCTGCTTGTTGCTCTGTAAGATTGTAACTGGCAGGTGTAGCGTCAGACAATGTCTTAGAACCAGACAGGTGTTGCTCGTTGTATGGTTGAAGGGTACTATCAGGAGCTGTAGACGAAAGCCTCTCTGCCTCTTTGCAAGTCGTTATGACTTCTGACTTCTGGGTGGTAATTAATCCACTGACTGTCTCACTGGATGATGAGGACAAGGCTCCTTTTTCCTGTGTGGCTGGGCTTGCAGTGCTATCTGATGTGTCCTGTGGTGTAGCCCCATCTCTGGCTGACTCTAGATCATCACTAGCAGTCTGCCTCTGAGTATCATCTAACCAGTTAGCATTGCCATCTGGCCTGTCAGGGAGATTTTGTGTCTCATTTTTTTCTTCATCAGAGGCTGACTGCTTTGTCACTGAACCACATTCTTGAGTTGTTTGATCACATGAATCAGATGAAGTTGAGCTGGTTTCTTTAGCTGATGTTGATAACACACAGGTAGACAGAGAAAAAATGTCACTTGGTTTGTCGGCAGGAGTGTTCACTTCATCAGGGTTGTCCTTTGTAACAGTATCTGGTTGGTAAGTGAATGTCAGATCGGCTGCGTAGGATCTTGCTCCATTTTCCAGTTTGGCTGGGCAGACATTTTTATCTGATCCATCTTGTGATGTTGTGCCATCTTTGGCAGGCTCTTGGTCATCACTAGCCGGCTGCCCCGGGGAAAAAAGTCAAAATTGTTAAGTATCAACATCAGACTTATACACGTTTCACTGCGGTACATGTGAACTTTTTCTTTCAGATATCAGCCTTTTTACTTTTAACATGATGCAAACAGAATATTCCTGTAATGCTGCTTTAATAAAGCCATTTAAGCACTGAACCAGTCTAGAGCTTTTATAATCAAGGACCTAGTAGAAAAGCAATGCATTTGTCAGAGCAATAACTGGATTTTGTACTGTAGCTGCAGTGCTTCTGTTAAATAAAAAGAGCTAAAGGTTTATTGTCTAGAAACATTCAGCAGGTCATCTTAAAAATACCAAGTATGTGAAGACAATGATCCAGTAAAATAACTGTGGTCACTGGTCATCAAGGTAGGTTGAATACCATTGTAAACTATGTTTTTTTATAATTTATAATTAAAAAATGTAATAAACAATGTTTTCAGATAATAATAGACTTAATGTTTATGATAGGGCTCGCAGTTGACAGGGAATTTGACCCAGTGGAATTATACAAAGGTGTTAAGAGTTAGATAACACATTCATGTACATTTTATGAGCTTGTTTACTGCCCTAGATTATGTGGGAGTATACCAGCAGGGAGAACGATGTGTCAGCTTTAGAAAGAGAATGTGTTTGCTGTTATCAAATAAATACTGCATTGATGTTTTGGGGAATTCCATGGCTCTACACATTTAAAATGGACATGGAAATTATGACAGTGCATTTTGTTTCTGTTTCACCTCTTTCTGGAATCGGTTTTCTTGATCTTCTTTCACGTCTTTTGGAACCTGGTCTTGATCCTCTTTTTGGTTCTTCTCCTCAGCAGTGACTGAGGGTTGATTTGCAGATGTGGCTACATCTGATAATGTAATATGACAAAATAGTTAGATATATATCTAACAACAGCTAATGTGTCTGTCTGTTGAAGTATTTCATGGAAACCCTTAATAAAGTTAGAATAACAATTACTTAAAGCTTTAAGGCACATCAGCTAGATGTTATCTACCATGAAGGTAATTCATAATTTATAAAAGTCTGGAGTATTTCTCAAGGGCATTCTGGTTGAGTTTTTTTTGTCTAAATCAATCAGTGTATTGGTTTATATGACAGAGTATAAGAAAAGAAAAATGTAACATTTTGTAAATTAATTTAAATTAGGCTATGTAAATTATTATTCTGAAAGGTTGTAGACTATCAAAAGAGCAGCCTTCTGCCTGCGCGAAAATTACAAAATGAGAAACCTTAAAACCTTTTCCTCTGCCACAAAAGACACAATTTCCTCCAAGTCAGTGTGGTTCCTTCGTGAAAAACATGCATCATCTTGCAGTATCTTTTCTGCAGTATCTGTTTTTTACAGACTACACAAGGGAGTAGCATATTTCCTTTGTGAAACCTTTACTAACGTCAAACACTATGCGCCACGTGTCATTTTTGAACAGGCGGTTGCTGCTTGTAGGGTTTACAATTAATCAATATGCAAAACATTTTAAAAATGTAACAAATCTGCATTAAAGTGTTTGTTAATCCACAACATAACCAAAACAGAATAACAAAACGTTGTCTGCTGGTAAGCTCACCTTCTGCCTTGTTTTGAGTCAAGAGAAATAACTTGTAGCCACAATCAGGACAGAATCTAAACGAACTTTGGACTTGATTTCCACAATCAGGACAAAACATGATGCACCTGAGGACAGATGGACAGATGCCATTAGGAATGAAAGGAAACATCTTAATTCACTGAGTATGATGGGCGAAGTCAATCATTATTTCAGGAAATTATTTTACCCAGTTAATCTTATTGTTTTCCTGAATAATGTCAACAGAATTGTTGCTTCTTCCAGTCGTGTTGACTGGCTGCCACTCTATACTTCATTATGATTCAGCTCGGTTAATAAAGAAAAAGGATCTTTAGCTTTAGCTTTTGTGTAGTATTAGCCTTTTAGAATTTCATCAAGACTTAAGAATTGACTTATGTCCCACTTCCTCCTTCCTCTCTATCTGTCTTACAATCTCTCAAAAAGAACCCAGCTTTGGAAGATCATTGAAAAACTCAGTGCAAAATTCCATAGGAAGAATATATTATACAGAAGTTTAGCATAATCATATATAATCATATACGTATATCCTAATGTATGTATATAACTTAATACTTAGCGAACTCGATTGTAATACAAAAGCATTTAAAAAACTATTTCCAGTATAATGACATTGATACATACTATTACAGATAATGTACATAAATATTCAAAGCAGCATGATTTTATACATTGTTTTCTAATTAGACATTAAAATGAATAACCTACCTCAGTCTTTCTGCTTCCTTACATGGTTGAAGCTGAAAATATGTGTGGTTGCTGATGTTTTATAGCCTACTGAAGTCCATGATTTTACTTTCATTTTCCATTTCCAGTAAACGGTGTTCCTATCTTGACTTATTAGATCAGAAGCCATTATTGGAATTCAGTGTGACTTCACTGACTGTCACATTTGGAAAACCTTAATTTCCATAAGACACAGTAGAGTACAATGTAAAAGAAAGATGCACCAGGTGTTAATCTAAGTATTTTAAGGTACTTCCTTGTAAGTATGCCAACACAAAACTTACGATATAAGCCAAGCTGAATTAAGATCTTTACCACTATTAATTTATAGATAATTATCATTAGTTGCATTATTCATTTTAAAACTTAACAACATAAATGGATGTTTGGTTAAAATAGAAATACAAACAGGTATTCTCATTGTTGGCCATTAGGTGGCAATGTAAATAAATCTAACACACTTCACCTCTCCTTACTTTATCTGCCATCAAAGACATATTACAAATACAAGGTGTTATTTTTTACTATAAATCGGACCTATATAATTTAAACAACTCTGCACACAAAATGAAAATAGTATGCACAATGGCATAGAAGGCAAACACAAAACAAGACATCCAAAATGGAAATTATGTAGGCCTAGATGTTTCAAACATACAGACTAAACAAGTTGAGATAAAAATGCAATCAATACAATTAAATACATTCAAGTATGAAGACTGGGCCACTATCCTAAAGAGTGGAAAAGAAAATAAGTGCATGGTTATGGGGGGGAAACTCTGCTTAACTTTGGACTGACACAAGGATTACAGTTTATGTAAGTTAAGTGGTGCAGATAAGAGGTTAGTGCAAATGTCTATGCCCTACATGAAAAATTCAGTATTGCTGATAAAACAGGATTGACTATCTACTGCCAAACTCCAAAGATCTATTTTCAAACCATTACACACCTTAAGCACTAGGAGCTGTGGTTTATAGCTGCTGAGTCACTGCTTGAAGCAAAAAGAATAACTTTGTGCATTCACTGCATGGTCTCATTGTTTTAGTTGACCTGTACAATCTGTTACTATTCAGATCATTGCATTGCCAAAATTCATCTTTCTTAAGAGCACTAAACAGAGTTCAATTTCTTTGTCGATATTGTCAGAAACGTTTGATATTGATTATATGTTGATAACCGAGGCCATAGTTAAAGAATGTACTATACCCAATGGATTATATTCAAATAGGTTTTCTAATTTTATGACCGCCACACAGAAACAAAGCATTAACTCAACTCTTCCAGATAGTGTAAAAAAAATCCACTGATTGAGTCTGTCCTGTGTGCAATCCCCAAACTGACCAGCAGCCGTCACTAGAGAGCTTTGGAAACTTTCATGTTGGAATCCAAAACAACCATGTGCAAAGTATTATATTAATGATCTGATTTATAAAGCACCTTTCAAGTGCAGATGTCACGATGTCTACACTTGACACCTTTCAGCTTTATCATTCTGTCATTTTATCAGAAACTTCAAAAACACTGTGAAATGGTTGTATAATCATAGGTACCACTTGGGATTTTATTTTTTAACCTTTGTTACCTCTATAGGGCAATATTTTGATGAGTTACCCGTATTGTCTGAATGTGTAGATACAGCCTGAATGTTGCAGCTGTGCATCTCTCATGTTGGTTTTCCTATTAAATGCACTTAAACAAAGAGTGAATAGCCCTATTCAGACTGCTGTTCTAAGGCACGATATTTACATCCCTGTGACATTTGTCCTTCAATATAAATGTCATAGAGGCGTAATGGGGGAACGAAGTGATCCCTCCTCTGTACCGTCTTTGGAGGTAACAAAGGCATTACAGGGGCGAGACGGGATCGGCGGAGCAAGTGGGGGAGCGCAGCGCTTATGTGTGTGTATGTCTGACTGTGAGTGTATTTGGAGTTCCTGTTGTACTATACGCTCTCACACTTGTCACTACCTCAAAAGAGCTACTGTTGACCAGAGGTGTTGTGCCTGATGTGCTTACATTGCACAATGAAATTCTCCTCAACCTCATCCATTATTTTGCTCTATCCTCGATCATCTTTTAAAGAAATCATTTTTATAACAAGTGAATTTGGGAGAATCAAATTGTGACTAAATGGTTTTTTTTTTACATAGTTACCTAAGACAGGAGGGAGTGTATAAGGTAAGTGGGAGAGATAAAATGGCATGACTGGAAGAAAACTGCAGGAAAGGAGAAGACTACAGGGAACAATAACCTTTGAAACTTGATGAAATTCAGCACTGAGGCTTTACCAAGGCAGCTGAAATGTCAAACGGTCTATTTTTTATGACACTGAAATGAAACTGTGGGATTTATTGAGTTCATGTCAGGGGGAATATTTTCTCCTTCCTTAATGCATGCATGCATAACATCCAAGATGGCATTTGTGAGGAAGGAAAATAACACTATTTCCATTGCCTCTGAAGTCAGTGCTCAAGAAGCGTGCTAAATCATATCTCATTGCTAGGCTGTTGACCGTGATAACAGGCTTGGACTGTGTGTATGTGTGTGTCCGTGGGTACTGTGGGGGGTGTGGGTTGGGAGCTAATCTAAAAACCGGGCTATGGAGTCCTTCTGCTCTTCTTTACCACCCACGCATCTTCTCCACACAAACCACTGCAGTTGCCAGCCAATCACTACCTCTTTCTTTCTAGTGCTGTTACCTGCGTCACTCTGCATGTGTCACCATGGTGATCACTGATGCTCCCCCCACATTTTATCTCTGCCTCTTCCAGTACAAGGATGAAGCCGATTTGTGGCTGATGATGCAGGCAGGCTGCAGACGTCATCACTTCCCTCGGGAAAGAGGGCCTATTTTTACCACTGGGCAAAAAGTATACTGAGCTTCCCAACATATTTATGGAACCGCATTTAATCCAGGCCTGCAAGGAACACCCCCCCCACCCCACCCCCCACCCCGTTATCCATCTCTCTTTGTATTTATCTCACAAAAATCCTGCTCCTTCGAAGGCATATATTTATCCCTTGAATTAAGATGGCAGCATTTGTGAAGGTTTTTAAAAATCTTGTTTTAGTAGCTGTACTATTTTATCTGTAATACTGTATTTACCACCAAAGGGAGATCTCACACACATTCTTACCTTCCTTAGGGAGGTCAGAGGTCACCGTCACAAAAGCAGCTTTAGCCTCAGAGCTGGCAGAGATGTGTTGGAAGTCAGCATGACTGGTTTCTGACTGGACTGGTTTCTGACTGGAATATACAATCAGAGAAATGTTTTAAATCCCGGTAGTAGAGTCTTCCATGGTAAGGTCTAGAAAAAAAAGGCCACATGACATAGTAAAAGTAGACATTTGAATATATATATTATCAAACTGTTCCATAGTTTTACACCAAGTATTGATACCATAAAACTTCTTAGTGTTGTGCGTACGGCGAGAATTTTAAGATTTAGTTTCCTCCTAAAACAATAAGCCCCCTCTCTGTGAAAGAATAGTTCTTAATATTTCCTGGCAGCAGATTGTTTCATGCCCTGTGTGATATTTATGCTTTTGGAAATTCTACAATATCATTGAATTGTGTCGTGGTTTTGACTGTGAGAATAATGAGTTAGTGTGATCCTGATATCCAACATTATGAACTAACCGTATGGCTCTTTCCTGAAGAATGAAAAAATGATTGCAGTGAATTTTTTTTTACACGTGTTGCCCCAAACCTCCACACACTAACTTAAATACAGTAAAACGAGTGAACGGTACAGAGTATGGGAAGATTTGTGATCCAGTACATGTTTGACTTTAAGTTTCAAAGGGGTTCAGTGGTTAAAAGAAGAAGTACTGTCAGTTGTTCTAACTAATGTTCGGCACCTTCGACAGGAACCAGGTAGAAATATGTGTTCCCCATTATCTGGTGACCCTTTTGACAGCTCTCACATACTGACATCCCTGATAATACTATAGTGAGGAAAACACCAATAATGTAATTTAGTAAAGATTACACATTACTTTGATTTTTTTGGTGGTAGTCTTACTTTAATTTTCATATTGTGACAGGCAGTTATGTTACAAATTAAATAAAGGAAACTACTACAGTTAAAATACAGTATATTACAAAATGTTCTGTTTGTGCGCTTCTCCTCACCTGTAGTTTGAGTTTTGTGCCGCCGTGCTGCTGGAGTTGGACTGGACTGACTGTTGAGCTGCTTTCCTTTCTATCCACCAATTTAGTTCAACAGACAGATGTGTTTAGTCGTCACTGGTCAGTATTAAAAAACAAAAACATATATAAATTATATAAAGCCTCAATATTGGGAAAGGAAAGCAAGTCTGCCAGTTATCAATAACCTTACCACAGTACAGAAATACTCTATTATGTTGAAGTCATACATCCAAAAAGCAGCCTATTTATGAAAAATACATCAAAAATGAACTTCAAACTGTAAACTATCCCTACTGATAATGATGTTTAATTTTTATTGCATTATCTATGTAAGGCTATTGGTTTGTATTATTGTAATATTTACAGTCTATGGTTTGTACATCACCTTTGTGATTCAAATTCTAATCTATGGCAATAATTGCCTTAATATTACGTTAAGGGAGTGAACTCAAGCAAGGTAGAACTACCTCAACCTTACCTCGACTTTACTTTACCATGAGAACTTATATCCATTGTTTAGTGTAACAACAGACCAGGTAAAAATAATGTAGGCTAGTTAAAGCAAGCTAACTAATGATTTCAACAGCTAAAGCCGTCTAAACACTGAAAATTAACAAGCATCAAGCAGAAGTTATATGTAACATTAATAATGGTGAAGATAATATTGCCACTAGATTTGGTTAATGAAGTAGTAAAACTTGAGATAACTGTACTACAGCTGCTCCTAGTGCAGTGCTAATGGCCGGGTAAATCTTTCGGTCCTGAGGGCTCCTTAGGGTTCAACAGGTCACAGGTAGACTGTTCCCGACTCCTACCGGGGGGGGGAAATGATAGGTAGCCTATATAGGGAAACCGCCACCTTACACATCAGCAGATACAGTTATAGGAAATGCATACA